TACAAAGGAGCTAAGCGTGCATGTCGGCCATGTTGTCGCAGATTTCTAGCCATGTAACTCAACGATATTACTTTTAAGGCAGCGTGAAAATAAGTGGTTATAAGTTTATGTTGCTGGGCTTGATAATGCCTTCATTGAAGTGTCATATGCTACCGTTGAAGGGTAGCACAGTCGTAGCCTATTTCGTTCACATATTTTCGAAAATTCGTGTGGGAATTGAAATTTTTGACACCTGTTGGACTGAAGTTGCTTTGAATTTGCAGCTTAATCGCAGAGTGTTTAGACTAACGATATCATATATTGCCATCACGTCAGACGGAAAATCACAGCAAACATTGCAGGTGAAAGCAGGCAATAATATTTCGTAATTATTCAAGTTCTAAAACGATGCGGAATATATTGCTGTTGTTATTCATGTTGTATTTTAAGAAAGAAATATCTTAGAATTCTACAATCATGTAGTCAGCAAAATTTGGAATGCGTAGAAGCTTTAGACAATATATATGAAGCCATTTCCCACCTAAACAGGGGCAGTGGAACACGAGAATTAGGGGATTGGGGGTCTATATCCTCAGAAGTATAAGTGGGACTAAATAAACCCACCCATATATTCACGTATGTGGCAGAACTCGGGAGCCCATACTAGTTATTCGCAAGATTAATTTTCAAAGCAAATGATACCTCAATATTTAAGACAAACTTGCCTTGGGTTTTAAATTTCGGTAACCTATTAGCCCTGATCTTCAACATTCCCAATGAAATCCCCTCAGCTAAAACAATAAGCATGCGAGGAAAAATTAAGGAGAAAATTTAAGGTAGGAACACCAACGGCGTGTCATCATTCTGGGCAAATCAGCTTTCGCAATCTTGTATAACATGATTGGTTATAATTGTCAAAATCAAAACGTTTTCGGTAAATGGACATTCTTTTTTTCTTCTTTTTTTTGACATGTTATCTTCAAAGTTCCGTAGATGAGGATGGGGGAGGGGGTGCAGTGCCCCTTGTCCATCCTGAAACAAAATTGAAATCATGCTCCCCACCGAAACCCACAAAATTTGTTTTTATCCGACGTGTACTGAAATGGCAAAATAAATGTTACATTTTCACTATAAGGAAACGCCTAAAAATTCAACTTGGGGTTGTATTTCGTTTTCATTTTTGATAGGGAGGAAAGAGTTTACACCTTAGTAATTTTCTTTCCACTTTTTTCTAGATTAAAAAAGACAATGCTATTTTACATATATCGAGTACAGTATAAGCAGTCAATTTGCGGACATTTGCGCTCAGTGTTGCAAAAATTGAATTATCAATTTAATTATTAAATAATAAATACATTAAAATTTGACTAGCTTAGTGCAGAATAACAAAACAAAAAAACTTTTTAAGTCAGAAGATATATTTACACGAAATTCATTCCTAATAGAATTCGATTAAATTTTCTGAGTTAAAGAGAAATAATTTACTATTTCAGTCAATTTGTTAGTAACGTTACTGACTTCACCTTTAGGGAGATTTTAATTTCTCATACAATTATGTAAAATTATCTCGGAGTTGTTCTGTTATATATATATATACGTGGAAGCAGGGACGCCGAAACGATGTGAAGGCAAGGGGGGCAGATTTTGGTGAAAGGGCACTTTTGAATTGATATATACTAAGAGATGTTTGCAAAGCATCGGAAGTTGAACTTCGCCTAATCATGTTTTCTATTTATTGGATAATAGGGGTGAGAGGGGGTTCTCAGCCAGGCGATTGTGCTATTCTTGAAGCTCAATAACTGCATTTCTTGCGTTTTCTGAAGCAAATTCGTAAAAGAATTGCACTAACATTTCTGACAATTCGCGATTTCGCCAAGGCAATCCTTTAAATTGAAAGGGCACCTTCGCCCCCTTTACCCCTCCTGGTAAAGGGCAACGGGAGCAGCTACCCCTCCTGCCCCCCCCCCCAGTTCTGGTGTCCCTGCGCGGAAGCTAAGACATTGTGCAGGAGTTGTTTGTATACGTGAATATACAGTAGACTATTGAATATTTGTTCATGAAAATGGAAAATAGCAGATGAAGGCAAGCTTTGTTTTCGTTCGTTGTAATTTATTTTGCTTCAGCATAAATATGATTATTCTCGTCTTTAATAGCACCTATATTGTCGTAAGCGTCTTCTTCGTAAATATTTGAACGAGACGCCTCGCTCATAGACTGTGGGCTAGTTTCTTCACATTTCACATCGACAAGTGGTTGATAAAAAGGTTCCTCTTCTCTAACATTACTTAAAGTGTTGTATTTTTCTTCTTCAGTCTCGCCAGAAGGGAGTCTCTCTTTCATGGATATTTCGCTGGATTTATCATTATCATAGTCATTGTCACGTGCAGACGGGTCGCGTTGTATCGTAGTAGCCAATTTTGGTCTTCTTCTCAACAACAGGTAGCCTGTTACGATCAATAAACATACCAACAAAATTAAGATAACTATAAATGGGATTAAAAATTTGGTCGATTCATCGCCATTCGCGTCGTCATTGATCATAATTAACCGCATTGTTATTCCTTTTCCTTTGTAATTCTGCAGTTCGCAAAAATATTCCCCATAATCATCGTCGTCTACTGAATTTACAACAAGCAGGTTTTGAAATATTTTTATATTCCCGTCATTGGTAATAATTTTCCCATCTTTTTTCCATTGGATTGTTTCATTGAGCGAACAAACAAGTACTGCAGGTTCGCCGGGTTTTGTGTAGACTTTTCTTGACGAGTAATTGGATCGTAGCTCTAAATATAGAGGTAAAGTAAATATTAGGTTTGGTGTAATTGTGTACAACAAGTTGAATCTCAGAAATTTTAGGCAAAATTGGAATATCCTTGCACAATTAGCATTTCCTGCCGAAAAATATCATACAAAATCGCTACTAAGAAAGTGAGATAATATTTTGGAATATAAAACGAAAAATGTGCGGTTTTCAGACCATATATGTCCATATATTTGAACAGAAAAAGGAAGCTTTTATTTTCAAAAGATATGTAAGAAGAGATAACTTTTGCTGCAAGTAAAAGTAGTCTTGGGCGGAGCATATGCTCGACGATTTGCAATACAGGTATTGTACAATTTACATATTGCGCACGTATTCCAATTGTACAAGTTTTACCAATTATATGATGTTCTCTGGATTATATTTGAAATGAGACCGCGGAAGTTATGATGGGGTAATTGCCATTTATATTCAAAACGCGTTTTAAAATTTTGTTTGCAAAAATACGGCGGTATTTTTAATGAGAACGTTCCATGCAGGGATATTTGTCTCACCAATCTAATGCCCAATATAATATTAAGTAATATTAGGCAATATGTAATATCCATGAAAGCTTGCGTGCTCTGTGTTTAATTAACGGCCTTTTGTGAACTGGTTGTATATATAAAAGCCAGGATCTGTCTTGAAATTACCAGTATAAAAATTCACTTTTTAATGTATTCAACTTTTATGTGCGTTGCTGTGTTCGAGGAGAGCGTATGAATATACGTTCTAAACAATATATGTCGAATATGAATTGAATGCCGGTAAAATACAAAACATTAATTATACATTGCGTAGAATCTCTGGCAAAGATTTTCTCAATATTCAGGTCTGAAATGTTTATATATTTGAAAACAATACTGTCGCTCCTTTCTAGTTCTGTATATTAATGAATATACCGTCAAAATAATATCGACACTTAATTGAATACCCACAATCTTGAAGATTTTCTAAATATTTACGTCTGAAATGTTTATTCATTTGAAGAAAAAGCACTGTCTAGCTTCTTCACAGCTCTGTATAATGAATATACCGTCTAAATAATATCGGTACTTGATTGAATGCACACATAAATGCATAACATCAATTTATAGATTGCGTGGATTCTCAAAGACTTGTTTAATATTAACGTATCAAATATTTATATATTTGAAAACAACACTGTGTCGCTCCTACGTAGCATCGTCAGTAGTATACAAAGTGGGGGTTCTACAACCGGTGGATCGGGTGGATCCACCCACTACGTCATCAGTATATCATATCATACCAATTACACGCTTGTAATGTATTAAAAGAATGTGGTGGACCGATGATTACTAGCGTTTTAAGAAAATTTTTGCGATTTAATACTTTGCTAATATATTTATCTCCACATATATTCCTTCAAACAAACTGAGTGGAGTTTAACACATTCTCGATATATATTCTACTAAAGTTGTTGTAATGCTTGTGAGAGGTAGATATTGTACGCATGCGCAGTGAGAATTGGGTATTACGTAAATTCCTGACTTAAAGGGGTTTGCAAAGATTCCGCGGGGAATTCTGCACAGAATATCTCAGTTTATTCAAAATTCTCCAAAATCATAAAGACAATAAAAATAGAGTATAAAAGGTGTACTTGAATTAATCGTATTACAAGGTTTTCTTAGAGTGTCCACTATTTTAACACAATCCTTGGTCTTACCTGGGGATGTATTCACCATGTTTAGGACTGTTAAACAAGGATTAATAAAAATCTAGACATACATATGAAATTTTTTAGTAAGAACTAAGCAGTTGCTAAGCCAAAGTTAAAATCGTGTTTAACGAAGTTGGTGTGGATATATACAATTTTTTATTTCACCCAGGGAGCTTGAGATAGGAAAAAAAATAACACATAGAGAGTTATTACAGAAGATATGCAAGCTATTTCGAAGTTTTGTCGTTTGCGGCTCTCTAAACGTATAACGCCAAAGTCATTAACAGTCATTCATGGATTACAAGCAAAATTTCAATCAATTAAACTAATATTTAAATCCCGTTCTGCCATATGGGGTCTGGGAGAGAATATGTTGCTGTCTAGAGTTATATAAACACATGGAAGTTAGAGGTCATGATATATAATTGTCAAGCGATTCCTATATTTTAATACCAGGTTTTTAATGTACTAAAGCTCGGATAAGGTTAATAAATTTAAGCTATATTAAAGCACACCGATTGCTATGTGTTGTTAGGGTAAAACTAATTAAAGGAATAACTTTTTATCAGAGATTTGCATTTTCTACTGTGTGGATAAATACGGGTAGATTAGGATATTCATTGCGCGGGCGTCGCGGGTTATCCGTGTGGGTTGGAAACACAACAATAATGAGGTTTATATTGGAAGAGAGAAAGCAATTTAAACAATGCAGGAGCGCTTTGCAGCCAAAAGTTTACACAAGAATTCAATCTTAAAATACATTTACTTCTTCGAGACGTTTACAAAGTTAATGTGGTCTACTTCTTAGAACATAATGTGTTTGATTTTATTTAAATTACGCACAACAATTTAAATGTTTTTTGTAATAAAGTCGTTTGGTTTAATTGTTCATTTGCCATGGTTTCTATACTCCTAGCTCTACATCGACCCTACATCGACCCTACATCACACCCACATGTCGCCGTAAAAAACAACTATAAATGATTATTCCATAGCTTATCTTTATCGTCCTTATCCTTATTTTCTTATCTTTATCTTATTATCCCTATCTTTATGAAAGACTATAGTCCTGACTATGAAAAACTATAGTTCTGACTATGAAAGACTATAGTCCTGACTATGAAAGACTATAGTCCTGACTATGAAAGACTATAGTAAAGACTATGAAAGACTATAGTCCTGACTATGAAAGACTATAGTCCTGACTATGAAAGACTATAGTCCTGACTATGAAAGACTATAGTAAAGACTATGAAAGACTATATTCCTGACTATGAAAGACTATAGTAAAGACTATGAAAGACTATAGTTCTTATACTCCCCAGGCTCGGCTCCGAGCCTAGGGAGCTTGGCTCCGAGCCTGGGGAGTATAAGAACTATAGTCTTTCATAGTCTTTACTATAGTCTTTCATAGTCAGGAATATAGTCTTCCATAATCTTTACTATAGTCTTTCATAGTCAGGACTATAGTCTTTCATAGTCAGGACTATAGTCTTTCATAGTCAGGACTATAGTCTTTCATAGTCAAGACTATAGTCTTTCATACTCAGAACTATAGTCTTTCATAATCTTTACTATAGTCTTTCATAGTCAGGACTATAGTCTTTCATAGTCAGGACTATAGTCTTTCATAGTCAGGACTATAGTCTTTCATAAAGATAGGGATAATAAGATAAAGATAAGAAAATAAGAATAAGGACGATAAAGATAAGCTATGGAATAATCATTTATAGTTGTTTTTTACGGCGACATGTGGGTGTTATGTAGGGTCGATGTAGGGTCGATGTAGGGTCGATGTAGGGTCGATGTAGGGTCGATGTAGGGTCGATGTAGGGCTAGGGGTATAGAAACCATGGCAAATTAACAATTAAACCAAACGACTCTTATTACAAAAAACATTTAAATTGTTGTGCGTAATTTAAATAAAATCAAACACATTATGCTCCAAGAAGTAGACCACATTAACTTTGTAAACGTCTCGAAGAAGTAAATGTATTTTAAGATTGAATTCTTGTGTAAACTTTTGGCTGCAAAGCGCTCCTGCATTGTTTAGATTGCTTTCTCTCTTCCAATATTAACCTCATTATTGTTGTGTTTCCAACTCGCACGGATAACCCGCGACGCCCGCGCAATGAATATCCTAATCTACCCGTATTTATCCACAAAGTAGAAAATGCAAATCTCTGATAAAAAGTTAATCCTTTAATTAGTTTCACCCTAACAACACATAGCAATCGGTGTGCTTTAATATAGCTTAAATGTATTAACCTTATTCGAGCTTTAGTACCTTAAAAACCTGGCATTAAAATATAGGAATCGCTTGACAATTATATATCATGACCTCTAACTTCCATGTGTTTATATAACTCTAAACAGCAACATATTCTCTCCCAGACACCATATGACAGAACGGGATTTAAATATTAGTTTAATTGATTGAAATTTTGCTTGTAATCCATGAATGACTGTTAATGACTTTGGCGTTATACGTTTAAGCCTAGTTTCCATTTGGTCGTTAGTTCTCGCTGGCACTACAAATGGCTGATGTAATAGAGTGTCAACAAAAAACTCTGCAATCATTAAGACTGATTTACATATAACACACAAAAAGACTATTGATATTAGACTATTTCACATCTACCGCTTGTCGTGCCGGCGACAACTAACGACCAAATGGAAACTAGGCTTTAGAGAGCCGCAAACGACAAAACTTCGAAATAGCTTACATATCATCTGTAATAACTCTTTATGTGTTAGTATTTTTTTCCTATCTCAAGCTCCCTGGGTGAAATAAAAATTGTATATATCCACACGGGTGGGGCGCGTTAACAACGATTTTAACTTGGGCTTAGCAACTGCTTAGTTCTGTCTAAAAAATTTCATATGTATGTCTAGATTTTTATTATTCCTTGTTTAACAGTCCTAAACATGGTAAATACATCCCCAGGTAAGACCAAGGATGGTGTTAAAATAGTGGACACTCTAAGATAATCTAAGAAAACCTTGTAATACGATGAATTCAAGTACACCTTTTATACTCTATTTTTATTGTCTTTATGATTTTGGGGAATTTTGAATAAACTGAGATATTCTCTGCAGAATTCCCCCCGGAATCTTTGCAAACTCCTTTAAGTCAGGAATTTTCGTAACACCCAATTCTCACTGCGCATGCGTACAATATCTACGTCCCAAAATCATTACAATAACTTTAGTAGAATATATATCGAGAATGTGTTAAACTCCACTCAGTTTGTTAGAAGGAATATATGTGGAGATAAATATATTAGCAAAGTATTAAATCGTAAAAAATTTCTTAAAACGCTAGTAATCATCGGTCCACCACATTCTTTAAATACATTACAAGCGTGTAATTGGTATGATATGATATACTGATGACGTAGTGGGTGGATCCACCCGATCCAAACGTCGTATAACCCCAACTTTGTATATAATATCGTCACGCCATCGTTGATTTAAATACAATAAATCACTACAAACATAAGTCGTATGCACCGCCGGCAAAGTTTACTATACGACTTCAGACTGACTGACTGATTCGTTTGAATTTTCGTCACTCATCACAATAGTGTAAAGTGAAACTTTACACTAAAAACGAAACCGAAACGTCTTCTATTTTCTTCGATAACCGCTCACTCTCGTTTCGAAAAAGCAGAAATGTCCGTTAAACACCTAGTCATAGCTCCCTACGACAGGATTCGTAGTCACATAATGCCACGTTTCCTAATTGCTGGGTTGCCAAGTGCAAAATCTTGTGATTTTAATGTTTCTGCTGGCATCATTTCAGCACCTAAATCTCTATGCCATGACAAGCACGATTTAATGTGCACCACCCCTCCTTTATCATCTAACGCATCTCATGCAGTACATAGAAGTGACATGCTTTACATCGGTGAAAATGAAAGATCTTTGAGGACAAGGTTTGGAGAGCATCGGGATGTATAGTCATTGGCAATTTTGCAAACCAGCCTTTTGCCAGATATTTTAATACTGGAAATTACAGTGCTACTGATATGGAAATTCGAGCCCTCTGTCCCATCGAGTAGCAACAATTAACAAAAAACTCAAAATTTATTTAGTTTATTAAATAAATTTTATTAAATACATTTTATTTAATAAATTTTATTAATAAATTTTAAATAATAAATTTTAAATTTTATTAATAGTTTTTTAATTTATAATTTTATTATAAATTTTATTTTAATTTATTATTTTATTTTAATTTCGTAATTTTTTTAGCTGAAAAGATATGAAATGCACCTAATTTCCAACCTTCGCAACGTCCACCCGTATAGAATTAATGAATTTTGATTTGTTTAAATTTATTCGTCATGACTTTCAGAAACGGACGTTGATAGTAGTTTTAACTTTTAATTCTTACCGTATTCCCTACTTACTAGAAGTACATGCATGCATCAACCCCTCGCCTTTATTTTCCTAAAGATTTTTTTTTTAATTCGAGGTATTCTAAATTACGCTACCAATGAACACAGGTTTGCTTTGCTCGCGTCATCTTAGCAATAATAACACGAATATACGTACAATCATTCTTCCGCATTTTTGTAACACGAATATACGTCCCTGGCGAAAATAACTATATTATATTGCTATTTTAAAACTATTTTATTACTATCACCCCTATTTTTATGCTATTTTATTCAGAAGCAACCCTATTTTAATTCTGTCATAATATTTCACCAAAAGGAAGAGCCATATTTTATTAATGTTTTATTTTATTTTATTCCTATTTTTATAGATAATAGAAATAAAATCGCATATTTTAATACTATTTTCCAGAGCTTCAGGGAAAAAATAGGTTTAAAATAGCCTATTTAAATTCTATTTTACTTCACTAAAAAGCAGTTAGAAATTAAAATAGATATAAAATATACTATTTTTAAACTCATAAAATAGAATAGGCTGTTTAAATCCTATTTTACATTGCAAGTTAAATGCACAAATTTCAAACAGGAATAAAATATACTATTTTAATCCTATCTTTCCTTCATAGTTAGTAAAATAACAATAAAATAGACTATTTTAAACATATTTTGCACGTGCAAAAATTACATAAATTAAAATAGATATAAAATATAGTATTTTAAAGCTATTTATTTTTCAGAATATTTAAAACAGAATAAAATAGACTATTTTAAACCTATTTCACATTTTAAAAATGCCACATTTTTCAAATAGGGATAAAATATACTATTTTAAACCTATTTACTTTCCCTAATTTGCAAAATAGAATAAAATACACTATTTTAATCCTATTTTACATTTACAGGAATTCAGGATTACAATTTGCAGATATGTATAAAATAGTCTATTTAAATTAAACATACTGAATTTTCCTACTTAGCAAAATGAAATAAAATAGAACCGTATTTTACATTTACACAGATAAGGGACCAATCATTAATAATGGAAGGGGGTGAGGAGCGGAGGGTGAGAAAAGGAGGAGGCTTCAACTATTGCGTACAGCGTCATCCCCACTGGTCATCCCATGCAGTGCTTCCACTTGCAAGGAAATTTCTTTGCAAAAAGAAATAAAATTTACTAGGAAACGGCAAGGAATTTTGTTTTCAGTAAGCAAATAAGGATATTACGATATTTCTAATAAATCCTAATATTATAGCAATTCCCAAGCAAATTCGCGTCAGGAAATGTCGAAAACCAAACTACTCCTGGGAAATGGAAAATCTGAAAAATTTCTGAGGCATGACCTCAAGCCTCCTGTTGCAGTTTTTATAATTAATTTATAATTTATAATTGCAAGGTTCATGATGTTTCTCGCCCGAGAAATACACCGTCATTCAAGATGAATTATTGTAATATCAGTTTTAAACTAGGTAAAATTGATCTTCATCAAAGGAATTTTTGTCAAAAGTAAGGAAATTTTGGGCAGTTGTTGCAGTTGGGAAGAAAATTATTTTTTTGAATGTGGAAGTTGAAGCACAGAATTTACACCCCGCCATATTTTTTATAATCAGTTCGTGATTTCGAAGTTACAATATTTCACTCGATATTTCGAGCCGATGAAGCTTTGTTAACCGTGAATAATCGAAGATAAAACATCAAGGATGATTGAGTAATGTCCAGGTAAGAATCTTGTTATGTTTTATGAATAATAGAGCAATTTTGAAAGGAAATATTAGCTTTTTCTCTGAATTTCTCATTTGTGAATTTTGAGAATGCACGTGTTTGATGACCTCTGATGTTTCGGCTTAAAATTTGAATTTGCCGCGACAATTTCGAAGTAATATTTCGTTCGATATTACGAGCCGATGAAGCCTTAATAAGCGAAGATGAAACATCAAGGATGACTGAGTAATATCCAGCTAAGAATCTTGTTATATTTTGTGTATATTAATAGAGCAATTTTGAAGGCAAATATTTTCTATTTCAATCTTCATTCGTGAATCTTGAGAATGCACGTGCAGCTGCTTGATGTTTCGGCTTAAAATTTGAATTTGCCGCGACAATATTTAAAACGATGATATAAAACAATAGTTTAATTCAAAGCTTAATACATTTGACTCAGTCTTTATATTAAATTATGTTTATTGTAACTAATGCCAATTAGTTAATAATAGTTGTGTAATATATGACAGACTCCAGTGGCAGTGTTTCTTGTATCAAAATTAAATAATATATTATTGCTTGGCATCTACTCAAGTTTCAATCCTCAATTCTTTATATGCTTATAAATACCTAGGCATATCCCAGCTAAATGTGCATGTCTCAGTTACAATAGTCATAGAATAAAAGTTATTCTGAATAAGGAGTGCATTATATATATATAATATATATATAATACAGTAATTAACACACAATTTATAAAAACTGTATGTTTTGAATCAAATATGATTCACCTTCACCAGTGTTTCACAAGATATGTTGTTATATCTGCAAGACATGTCATTATATTATATTCTACTTATATCTATCTCGTATATTTGCTGAAATTATCAGCCGGAAAAGGATGTCTCATGCACTTTACCATTATAGCACTTATATACCCTACTTTAATTTTTTTTCACCCTCAGTCTAACACCAGGTGTTGGTTGCATCAAAGCTGGATTCTTTCAGTGCTGTTTGATTTTACCATGTCTAACATCAGAGGGTAATAGTACAATGCACTAGGATATCAATGGAATGGGTATAGAGGGTTAATTTCAATTTCCTTTGTATGCCATGCTTGAATTTTTTAATGCCGGGTTGGTTGGTTAATAGGTACAAATGTCAATTTGATCAATTTGTTGTGTGGCAACTTGATTATGGAAGTGCTCTAACTGGAAACAGTCAAAGTCCTTTGTTTGCTTGTTCAAAGTTTATAATATATGAATATATTTATCTTTACCATGACCTGATCTGCTTAATAATATATGTAACAACCTTTGGACTACATTTTATATATATCTTTAGAGACACCCCGGCAAGTCACGACAAGGGTGAACTAAAATTTTTTTTTGAATAAAATTACCCATTTCACTGAAGTGCCCAATTTTCAGCAGTTTGTTAATATTTAAATGCTTTGTATCTTGCCTAATGTTGGACAATTTTATTTGCCAAGGAAAGTGTCCAGCTAGACTCCTGATGTTTCATGCCCATGATGTTTCATGTTGACATATTTAGATGTAATTTTCCTTAACACTCCCTACTTTAAGTTCTGCACACAATATTTAACTGTGAGGTTTCAAGCTAGAAAATTTTGCTTATCGACTGTGGTCTGCTTGCCCATTTTTCACCTTTTAATACTGACAATTAAGCTCGCATGTATTGGCAATAACTGCTTGATCTGCAAGATGCTTGGTGGCATGGGTCTAACTGCTAGTATAGACTACTAGACTGCACATCCTGCAATTGATTTGAAACCCAATCGTGTAATAGATTCCTTACAGTTACTCAAACGTTGGTAACTCTGACTGTGGTAAACAATGCCATTGATTTGACACTGCTTAAACTGCCACATTCACCCCTGCCGCCCCTAAACTGCCACAACCTAGCATTGGCAGCAGCTAATAAGAATACAAACTGTTTTATGTGTATTATTTTATACAATTTTAATCGATAATATACCTGTCAACCATGGTACTGTATTGCTAGTTTTCAGCTAATTTGATATTATTTCATTACTATTTTTTAACTGGTTTTAATTATCATACTACAATTTTATTACTTTATAAAGTAACTATGTTGCAGTGCTACTATTTTTATATAGCTATTTTATTGTTATTTTATAACCATTTTATTGCTACATTCTGAGTATTTTATTGCTATTTTATGACTATTTTACTATTCTTTTATTGCTATTTTATAACTATTTTATTACTACTTTCTGACTATTTTAGTACTATTTTTATACTATTTTATAAGAATTTTGAACTATTTTTTTACTATTTTGTTCGCTATTTTATCACTATTTTAATTCTATTATTTTATTACTATTTTATCAGTATTTTATTCATATTTTTAAACTATTTTATTACTATTATTGCAGTAATTTTATTACTATTTTTAGTTAATATACTGCAGTTGATCCACTATTTTATATGTATTTTCGACTATTTTAACCTATTTTATGTATATTTAAAATCTATTTTATTACCAATGTTTCACTTTTCTTTATTATTTTATTTCTATTTTGCACTCTATTTTAAATATATTTTATCCTATTTTAAACCTATTTTAATCTGTGCTTCACCGATTCAGAAAAATAAAATATATTTAAAATAGGCTATTTTTGGTTTCAAAAAAACCTATTTATAATAGCTATAAAATACAATTAAAACTCTAATAGGTTTAATATAGGATTTGTATATGTGATAGCAATATGATAGGGTTAAAAATAAAATAGCTTTTCTATAGGAATAAAATAGAAAGTAAAATAGGGATAAAATAGGGTTAAAATAGGGTTGATTTTCGTAAGGGGTACAATCATTCTTCCGCATTTTTGTGCAGAAGGGCAAAAATATTACTGAAGTTTAATCTTGGAAGTGGGCTCATTCCACGCCTGGCAATGTACCATATTTTGAGTTCTGTGAGATGACCACTCACTACCCCTCTTTTGAAACCCCTAGCAGCTTTCCTTTTCCCGGGGAAAAAGAGCCGTTCGGAATTAGTACACTCACTGCGGAGTTACGCCCAGAACGGTGGGAATTTGGTCTATTTTGCCCAAAATTTAATTAATATATATTTTTCTATTTGTTGTAGTTTTCTGTATACTTGTATTAAATATATTACGTAATTTGATTAAATCAATATATTATGTAATGTTTTTATACTTTGTTTTGACCAAATCCATCTGATTGGTTTATATTTTGTGACATGATGCTATTATATTCTTTGTACTAGAAAATACGTACATGCAACAACCGCTCGCATTTCTTAACAGATCGGAAGTATAAAAACTCCACATAAAGTATTAAAACAATTATAACAAACATAAAAACACAACTGATGCGCTACTTTTATTATTAAACGATAACATTCGCTGCAATTTCATGTTTATCAGCTTGCAATAAAACATATAATTTGTTGCGAATTATCGAGTTAATGGCTTAAGAATTTCGCAGATATGAATATAATAGAAAGGTAAATACAGCATGGAATTTTATTACCGAAGTATTTACACTTACTCAACCGGCACAACAACGTTAAATTATTAATAATATCAACATCAAAAGATCAAAAGATCAAAACAATTCTTTAATACACATTTTGTTTCACTGTTGAACAGCCGCAAATTCATGAATCTGCAGGCTTATTTCCAGTTAAAATGGAAGAAAAAATGTTTTGTTCTGTTATAAACATTTTAACAAAATTTAAAACAAAAAAATGCTGTAAAACAGCAAAATACGTCCTTTTAAAATGAAAAACAATTACTTAGACAGAGCTTGTACTCGTGCATGCGCATAACGTCGATAACCGTCCATTTGCGCTCGGTGTTGTCTTTTGTTTTGCATGGATGCACGAAAACAGCGTTGATCGCTTACCGGGCAGCCGTTTTTCCTTTGTGTTTAATGTTGTTATGCGCATGCGCCAGTACAACCACTGGCTAAAGAAATCATTTTGCTGTTTTACCACCTATTTTATTTTATTTTAATTTTCGTAAAATGGTTTACAAATGTACACAACGCTTTTTCTCGATTTAAACTGCAAATAAATTTCAGTAATAATAATTTAAAAAGTTGTACAGTAAATTGTTCAACCATTTTGCGAACAAACTTCTGACGGCCAACCGAGTGTACTATATAATTTCCACTGCAGTTTAATGGCAAAGTCTCCAAATATTTTGCCGTTTTTATTTCACATTAAATTTAAACTTATTGATTATGTTAGAGTTGGGGTTAGAGTAGGGTTATGTTCATCTATCCCAAAAAATTGTCCCGAATTTATTGTATTAATATGTTCGGCCGTGTTTAACAATTTACTCATATTGTAAGGTCCACCTCGTGCTGTATTTTCACGTTCACACGTCCCCGATATTGTTTGTAATCATCAAAAAGCAATCAGGTCCAGAAGCACTCGTCGAATACAGCTACGCGCAGCATAACATTGAAACATTGTATAAAATTTCGATAAAGACACGAAGAAGCAAATTAAAAGCTCAACAAAATTTTTGATCCTGAGGGCTTCAACAAACAAATTTTCAGGAAAAACGCTTTACGTACCTGTACAACGCATTCCATCTCCATAAAAGTTTTCGGTACACGTACATTCAACGGAATCCATCCTGTAATTACATTGCGCATTTTTCGAACATGGGCTCTTGCCATTTTCACATCCTTTCATAATGATCTCTAATAAAAATAATGTCAAATTATTTTCTAACATTTTATTATACACAGTTTAATAAAACGCTTTCGTCAGAAACTCCAACAAGAACGAATTAAATTTATTCGTTTTTGCAACGGCATAAAATAATTTTGTGAAATAAACCGTGACGATAAAAATTTCCTTGATCAACCCGGCCAAAGAAATAACTAACTCAAATTCAAACGCATTCTCGCTCGTTATTTGAGCTAAATATCCATTGTTGCAAATGAAATAGTTATATGTTTTTTAGATATTAAAGCATGTTCTAAGCGTGAGGTCTAGAATATTCTTTCTGTTATTGTTTCAGGCCCAGAACATGTGTTTAACTTCTTGCTAACATTGGATAGCCATATAATGTTTGTGATGTTACTCTGAGTGTATATCCACAACATCATATTATTCACCTGATTACACAACACCAACACAAATAAAATGATGTGTCTTTTCCGACAAACAAAAATAACTTGCGCACGAGATTTTAATATAGCTTTATTCGTATTTTAAGTTAATGGGTGAAAATGTGTTTGGTGTTTAATTGTTAATTGCACGAAATTTCAGACAATTTCCTTCAGTTAAAGCCCTTTAACTATTCACGCAAACTTACATTTTTTCCTAAAAAATCAGCCTTTTGCACGCTTAATTAATGTCTTTGCTTAATTTGCATATGTCAGCAATATGGATCTTAGATAAAGGCATTAAGCGTGCGAAAGGCTAGCTGATTTTCAGTTAAGGAAAAATGAATAGTTAAAGGCTTATACTAAAACAAATTGTCCGAAATTTTGTACAGTAATTAAAAACCCAACATTTCCACCAATTAACTCAAAATACTATTAAAGTTTTTAGACCTAGTGCGGAAGCCATTAATTTTTTAGTTTGTTGGAAAAGAAACACCTCCTCGGTTTACACAATTTCAGTTCGAGCATTTTTTCATTATTCTACATTATGGGTACTCAAGGAATCTGTATGTAACATGACGTGATATACCACGAGCTCTTTTTGCGAAATTGAGAGCAATTCCAAATCTGTTCAGTTTTATTTTTACACCATGTACAGTATCACAATTTCGCTCTGTTAGTTCTGGAAACTTCCAGCCACCCGAGGTGCGTCCAATCCTGGACTCACCGAACCTGTTTTTATCCCATACACATTGTAGCTCTTTGCGATATATTTGCCGATGTTTTGTCAACATTTTGTCGGCCAAAAATTCACTGATCTCCATTTCTTTATCTACGTCTAGATTACTTTTATTGCTTTTTTTTGTTTTTCTTCAGTCTCAGTAGATTAATCGCCCGAAAAAACGGTTCTTTAAAAGTGTAGGTTTATCGGCTCAATATTGTCCGCCTTTGTTACTGTTATCGTAACGTAAGCAGTTTCGCGAGCGAGATCGGCGAAAGAGAGCCGACCTCAACGAAAGGAAGTTGAGCTGGAGAAAAGCTCACATAGTCTAAACCAATCAGAAAGCCACTTTAACATTAGTATGGGATAAATTATTAGACAAACCTGCAAAACATGAGACACCAAATATATTTTCAGTTGACAGACATTAAGATTACAGGAAGAGTAGCGCATAATAGTTAGCAACAGAATATTTGATATTACATGTAGTTAACGGGCGGGACTGTTCATTTCAATTTTTTAAACGGTCGTTGTCATCGCGGATTTGAAGAATATATACGCGAAATTTAATATTAAGTGATTTCATTACGGAACTTCCAAATGACACGAGGATGAAAATGACCGGACGATTTGAAATGTATAAGATAACGGGCCATTCCAATTAATGTCAACCGCCCCTATGGATGAATTTTTCCGAAGGGTGATTCCAAAGTCTTTCGATGTGAGAAGCCTGTCGGCATCATTTGATTCTCTGTGTTTTTTTTTGAGCTAGGGGTAAGGGGAAAATTCACAAATTTCTGAGCGAATTTTATGTCATCGCTTTGATTCTTCTTTCTTAGGGGTAACATCTAACTGAACCCATTCCAAGGGGTGGGGGGTATGGTTGTTAAATGGAATGGCCCAACGCAGCGCGAGAAGCGCGTTGATATGTTTTGCATTTAAACAAATTTTGCTTAAATTTACACAAGTGTCTTGAATAAGACCTTATTTTGAAATACACTGTGTCAAACATCGACTCGCGTTGTGTATAGCTATATATTTTGTTGAACCAAACGAAAAAATAATTAAAGGATAGTACTTTGACTAAATACCAATAAATTTCCGAAATATATTCCGTACGTTTGTTATTTAGGATTTTGTGGCCTTGATTTAATCCCGGAGCCATACATACATACATAGATACATCAACTTTATTTAAACACGGAAAATCATCAGTATAGTTATTTACAAAAATATTAAAATATTTTAAAAGGAGCAAAAAGAAATATAGATACTGTTCTACCTGATTGCCGTGTGGGAGTCAGATCGATTATTTATTAAGAAGGCTTCTAAACCTGTCTTAAATGCAGCGAGAGAGGTTACTGATCTAAGAGATTCTGGCAGGCCATTCCATAAAGAGGCTCCACTGTAACTGAAGGAGCGTTTCAAATAATCTGTGCGTGGTTTTGGGACATAAAGTTTACCATAAGAATCTCTCAGGTTATAAACACTCTCACTGGGAGAAAACATCTCTTGTAAATAGAATGGTGTATGTTTATTAATAGTATTAAACATGAGGATTGCCTTTTGCTTTAATCGCTTAGTGGACAATGATTCCCAATTAAGTTCTTCAAGAAGAGAACTTGATGAAATATCATAAGATGAACGGGTAATAACACGGGCGGCCCTATTCTGTAATTTTTGTAATTTTTCGCTTTGCTTTTTACCTAGGCCATCCCAAACAGGGGCACAATAGGAAAAATAGGGCTCCACCAAACTTTGGTAAACTCGAATTGCAGTTTCTGTGGTAATAAAATCTCTCATTCGTTTGAGAGCACCGATACCCGAAGAGACTTTTTTGGTGATATTATCAACATGATATTTCCAAGTCAAGTTCTCATCAATTGTTAAACCTAATGACTTAGACTTCAGCACTCTATTAATCTGTTTATTGTTAACACATACTTCCACATTCTGATTATCAAAGGTTGAAAGTCTTTGACGAGATCCAATAATCATAAATTCAGTCTTGGCAATATTTAAACTTAACTTATTTGCCTCTAGCCATGTGTTTAAATTGGCTATTTCAGCATTCATAAGATTTTCTAGCTCAGAAAGATTATTACTTTGCATGCTGATGTTCGTATCATCAGCATACATTCTAGGTAAACCCTCGTTCAAGCAGTTAGGCAAGTCATTGATATAGATCAAAAACAGAAGTGGGCCTATAATAGAGCCTTGCGGAACTCCATGGGAGATAGAACGACTACCAGAGAGTTTGCCATTTACGTAGCATTTCTGTTTTCGATTGTTTAAATAGGAATTAAACCACGATAGCGCATTGTCATCCACACCATAACACTTGAGTTTACGTATAAGAATTTCGTGATCAATTGTATCGAAAGCTTTCTTTAGGTCAATGAAGATCACTCCGTTAAGCAAACCCTTATCAATATTTACGCACCAGTTATTACTCGACTCTAATAAAGCTGTAACGGTACTATATGATGCTCGAAACCCTGACTGATAGTTCGACAGTAAGTTGTTACTTGTCAGATAGGAGTAAAATTGGTCATAAACGGTTCTACCAAAAACTTTGGCAACCGCCGATATAATTGAAATTGGACGATAATTACTTAGATCACATTTGTCGCCATTTTTGAATAACGGTAAGACTTTTGCCATTTTCCAATCAGTCGGATAAATCCCCATAGAAAGCGATCTATTAAAAATTCTGGTTAACAAGGGGGAAAGAATATCAGCGGCTATTTTCAATAATCTACCTGGGATTTTATCAGGGCCGGTCGCTTTGTTAGCATTAATCGTTTTTAGCAAACAATTTACAGTGGACAAACCAATTTCCTCGAAAGAAAAAACACTATGTGTGGATTGAATATAAGAAACGGGATTAACATTCGAGCTAGGTATTTTGTTCGCAAGTTTCTCTCCTATCGAGGTGAAATATGAATTAAAGGCATCCGAAATTTCAGCCGCATTAGTGATTTCATTACCGTCAAGATTGACTTTCTTGACACTGGTTACATCACTCACTTTACGAGAGTTCAGATCGTTGACTAGTCTCCAAGTTTTCCTTGGATCTTTTCGTGCAGCCTCAATATTAGTGATAAAGTAGTTATGTTTAGCCTGCCTAATAGTGTTGTTAGTTTCATTTCGAGCTTTCTTATATTGTAACCAAATTTCATCGTCACGTGTAATATCGAATTGCCTTTTTAGATAATCTCTTTCGCGAATTTTCTGAACTACATGTGAAGTAATCCAGGGAGACTTTCGTTTCCCTATACGTTTCTTTTTAAGTGGGGCATGTTTATCAATCACAGACATAAACAAATTCAACCATTCAGTCCACATATCATTAGGGTCGTTATGCAGACAAACCTGCTCCCAATTTAGATTATTTAAATCATTCAAATATGCATGTTCATTGAAGTTTCTGAAATTTCTCTTTTCAACAAAAGTATTTACCGGTGCCTTATGATATGTACATTTCCGAATAAGGTATACCAGAGAATGATCACTTATACCAAGAGAAAGAACACCGGAAGCTTTTACTTTATCAAGATTATTGGTAATACATAGATCGATTAATGTTTGTGAGGTATTAGTTATTCTTGTAGGTTCAGAAATTGTCTGTGAAAGATTGTAAATATCAAATATATTCAAAAGCTCAGACGTGTTGGAATTTGGTGTGTTTGACAATAGGTTACAATTCAAATCTCCAAGTAAATACAGTTCGGAATTCTCAGCATCTATCTTATCGATAATTTCCTCGAATGAAGTAAATAATTGTTGGGACGAGCTTGGAGGTCTATACCAAGTACCCACCAAAAACGGCTTTGAACGAGGATTAGAAATTTCGATTATTAGGATTTCAAGATCATTACATGCCAGATCTTCACGAATTCGAAAGTTTAGCCAATGGCACCAAAAATCGTTAACGGCGTTAGACCAGGGCTAGTCATGGGAGTTCTTCTTACTGATTTCAAAAAATATGACAGGCTGCTGCAAAATAAGGAAGAATCAAATAATCTGTGAATTAGTATCCACGACCCAGGTAACGCTCGAAACGGCAATTCGCGCAGTAAGCTCGAAAAAATTGAGATGAGGTGCAAAGCACGACAAAGCCATTTTAATTAATATAAATTATTATTGCTTTTAAAAACAATATGTTATTATGAATTTTTCTATTGCAGAACGTACATACAAAACGAGCGCAAGATAATTGGAAAAACCTAAGCAGTGCCTATCAGAGAGGGCAAAGGGGAAATTTGCGACGAACCCCCAGTTAAAGGAGGAACCAAAATTTGCAAAAAGGGGCCACAAATGGTGTTAGTAAAAAAATTATTTGGAATGTTTTTTTATATATAATGTTACAAAAAGAAATTTTGGACGATGTTAAAGACATTTCTCAGCTAAAAATAATATTCTGAGCATGCGCATTGCCTTCAATTGTTGTAAACATTGGCGGCTCGCTTTGCTGAACTTTCGGAGTGTCTTATAACGAAAGATAAAACGAAGTTTCTATATAAGGGAATAATAAAACAATTATCGAACTCCTTTCTCGCAAAATATTTGCCTCTGCCCTCGGCATCGGCAAATAATTGATCTGCTCGCCACCGACAAACCACGATGATTTGCTCAAACTCGTCCAATAACTGATAATTGTTAAAAAAATGGGTTTTACACGTGTTTTTACAGGTATTTGCCGGAAAAAAAATTTGAACCTTAATGTAAATAGTGTTTGTCCGGAAGAATTTTTTTAAAGGTGACATGACACGAAATTTTTTATTGTCCCATCTGAAAGAATAGTAGGGAGCTTTAGATTTGACTACGAGTACGAGATTCGTCAAGCTAAACGCATGCTGTATGCTTACGCCATCCTGTACTGACGCTAAAGAGTCGTAGCTGTCGCCCATCTGAGTACGAAATTGTGGAGAAACCTCGTAGTCCTCACGACGACTTTAAAAAATAAACAAAGAAAGTTGACTTTTTTTGTTTTCCAAAAATAATTTGTAGCATTTATATAGCGTTTATCCGGCGCAAATAATATATTAGTACTAAATATCTGGCGTATTTTTAATGTTATGACTTATTTACACGTTTTGTAGGGGATTTTAGTCAGCAGGAGATTTAGTTTATGAAACTTTTTCTCTCGTTGTTGTTTTACTGTAATAAAAGCAACATTTGAATGGAAACGAGAACGACTACGATAACTTCCTCGCACGCGATAAAATCTCGTACTCGTAGGCGTACTCGTAGTCAAATCTAAAGCTCTCTAATGAATACTGTAAAGTAACTTATTTTACAGATTTTCTTTTACATTCTTCGTTGGTGAGAAAATTCAGTATTGTTCAAATGCAATGCAAACAAATTTACGTCACAGTTTGCATAATGAGCTACCAAATATTTGATAATTTATGTATTTTTATCCAACATCGTCATTTGTAAAACTGCATATGCTTTACATTGTCCTCAGTATAACGCATGTATTGATTTTCAAACGATTTAATAATTATATACGCGATAACCTGACATTTAACGCTAACTCATTATGCAAAGTCTGACGTAAATTTGTTTGCACTGCATATCAAGAAAACTGAATATCCCATCAAGGAAGCACGTAAACAAAAATGTGCAAAAGAAGTTGCTTTACAGTTTTGACGATTCTTTCAGATGTGGCAATTCAAAATTTCGTATCAGGTCACCTTTAAGCTTTTTTATTCGAAATGTCTGGAAAAATATGTCTTACTCCCCCCCCCCCTCGCGCTCGTCATCATTTTTTGGTCAAAATATGGGGCTCGAGATAAAAATTGACAATATAGAGATCACATATGTACGAACAAATTATCGTTTTAAATTACATAAACAGTTCTTGAGCATATTACAGTATAATTGTATATTTCCATGTCATATACTGTAATTACTGTTTCATATATTTTCAATTGGGAATATAGTATTGGTGAAAATATTTACCTTGCAATTAAACAGTGGTATATTATTTTAAGGAAGACTTCAATGATCTGGTTTCTTGCATTCACTTGGTGGTATTAATATTTGAATGCAGTTCTTAGGGTTTGTAATCCAAGTGAGTATATATGTACATTTTAAGACCTGACCAGGAACGATTGTGAAAAATGCAGCACAAGGTCCTCTGGTAGGAATTGAACCTACGGCCCTGCGATTCGAATCGCAGGGCCGTAGGTTCAATTCCTACCAGACGACCTTGTGCTGCATTTTTCGCAATCGTTCCTGGTCAGGTCTTAAAATGTATATATATACTCACTTGGATTACACACCCTCAGAACAGCATTCATATATTATTTTATTAGTTTTGACCTAGTATGTTGAACTCGATCTATTCTAGTATTCTGCCTATATGTTTTTCAAGAACTTGCCTTCACAGTGTGTTCCATTTCCCGAGAATCCTTTGTTGCAGGTACAGTTATACTCCCGGTCGCTCATCGCTGAAGAACAGGTGGCATTTTGATGGCAGTCGTGCATAGTTGTGTCACAAATATCTAAATTGAAAATAGTTTAAAGTGGGGCAAACCAGTGATAGGATTAACAACGGTACGATATGCCGCGCGATCCTTAGCAATGATTTGGAAAGTTTCCTTTCGATTCAATTTTCTCGTTCTGTCCACTGCCGCCATCTGACCAATCCAAATTTTGTATTAAATATCCTATTTTACTTTATTTATATTACAAGCATAATATAGCCGGAAAAAAACCCCATGACATCTTTGGTTCGTGATTTCCAAATAATACGTATGTTTAAATTAAGCTGGCTTAATTTAACAGTGACGTATTTGCATGCATGTGAAGGAATCTGGTAATGTAAATTATCTACAGAAGCCAGCAATCTATATCGGAAATTTCGAGTTGCTATTGGAATCGACATATTAGCCAAGTATAGATCACATACAGTATAGACGCATTACACTGACGTCACAAATCCTTAGAGACTCCTCCAGATGCTCTCCTAACAATATCTGTTCGGGAACAACAGCACAAAAATTACCCATTTTAATACAAAATTATTACGTCATGTGCAATGGGTCTATTGTTTAATTGGTGAATGTAATCTTGGCGCGCCTGTAAACTTACTCTTCTATGATTTTGTTTCCCAATACAGCTTGCAAACTCATATATAACTAGAGGGCACTCAGAGACTGCATACCTCCGCCCGCTACTCGGAAGTGAAACGCAACCTTGGAATTTCCTAAGAAATCCACATTGCAATTCTTAAGCATAAAAGATATTAGGCCCCCGCGAATTGAAATCGAATTGCTAATAGATCATATTACTGTTGTTGTGCTGTACAGTACTTGTAAAATAAATCTCATTAAGTGTCATTAAATAAATGCGTAAATTTTGCTTTATGCACTCGCGCGTGCAGTAATTTTGACAGTTGTGCTATTTTAAATTCCCAGGCAGCTAAAATCTCTTGTCTTTAAAACAATGTCGATTTCTTGGGAAATTACGAGGTTGCGTTTTTTTTATACAGTGCGTCCCAAAAAAAAAGGCTACACTTTGAAGTCAAGCGTTAGTACCGCATGTTCGAATTTGAATGCTTTAACTCCCTAATGAGCCCTGGAATGCGTGCTATTTCGCGTACTAGGTTAAGAAATCAATACCAATTCTAGAAATACATGCATGAAGCAATCCCTCGCCCATATTTTACAAACATTGATTTAACATGATGTATTAGCAATTGATCAACACTGAACTCAGGCTCGCGTTTATGTCAGTGTTGCCATGGCAGCACGATACACTTTTGTACAACACGGCAAAAATAGTCGAAAGATAATTGCTGTTAACTATATTATTATTATTATTATTATTATTGATCTTTAAACACGGTAACCTTTCACATAGGTGATTTTCATTAAGGGCCGTGCGGAAAATAAATGCATTATAAAAGAAGGAACTAATAAACTAAATTATACTTATTTACAAAATATACTTATTACTTATTTACTTATTTACAAGATGTAATTATTTAATAGATGATGGACAGATTTTAAACTTGTTGATTCTCTTAGGGTTTTCAACAAGTTTACTGGGATGTTGTTCCAATATGCTGCTCCTCTGTACGAAAAGCTATTTTTCAAGAAATTCGTTTTTGGTTTAGGTTGAGACAGCTTTAAATTACTACTGCGCAGTACGTAACCATTGTTTTCACAAGTGTGAAATAGTTGTGTTACGTATTCTGGAAGCATGCCATTAATCGCTTTAAATGTCATAAGGAGATCTCGCTTTTTCAAAATTAAGTCAAGAGGTTTCCAGCTAAGTTTTTGAAAAATGTCCGAAGATCTTATAGTATAGTCCGAATTTGTTATTATTCTTGCTGCTCGTTTCTGAAGCTTATATAATTTGTCTAAGTGTGTTTGGTTGTTATTTTGCCAAACAGTTGAACAGTAGTTAAAATGAGGCGCGACTAATGCGTTATACATAATTTTGAGCGTATCTAGGCCAACAAAATCTTTGGCTTTTCTTAAAAGATTAATATTTTTTGATATCTTGTTGCATTGTTCTTCATTTTGCCTATTCCAGCTAAGTCTATCGTCCATAACTATACCCAAAGCTTCCTTTTTATAAACTGGTTCAATTTGATGTCCGTTTATACTGATTCTTGGCACGCGATCTAAGTTTTTCAATCGTTGCCGAGATCCAATAATCATATATTTGGTTTTTTCGTTGTTTAATGTTAGTTTATTCGCTGATAACCATTTTTGAGCATTTACTAGGTCTTTGTTAAGTTTGTATTCAATATCTATGGATAAATGCCCTTGACATGATAAAATTGTGTCATCAGCAAATAAATTAGAGTGTGTTGTTTCTAGGCAGTTTGGGAGGTCGTTTACGTAAATGAGAAATAATAGAGGTCCAAGATTTGAACCCTGAGGTACTCCACAACGAATTGTTTCAATATCAGATTTACAGTTATTTAGCATGCAAATTTGCTTTCTTTGATCTAAATACGATTGGAACCATTTGAGCGTGTGGTCGCGTATCCCATAAGCTTGTAGTTTTGACAATAGAATCTGGTGATCAATCGTATCAAATGCTTTTTTCAGGTCTAAGAAAATAACCCCATTTATTTGACCCTGGTCCATTGATTTCAACCACATTTCAGTAGATTGTAGTAACGAGGTTTCGGTTGAGTGATTGCGACGGAAACCTGATTGATTTTTTACAATTATGTTGTTGTTATCCAGGAAGGTATTCAGTTGTCTACAGACTAATTTCTCAAATATTTTGGCGATATTCGAAATGACTTATATCGGTCTATAGTATATAACAATGACTTTAAGAAATATGTACTGTAGGTATGTTGTTCTGGATTTTGTGGGCTTTGATTTCAATGTAAAATTTAACCCGAATCGCTTCGTAAAATGTTTTGAAATGCTTATTTTAATCACTGAACTGCTTTTGGCGATCGTCATAACTTTTGCGATTTGCCTTTTTACTTCAAATAGTTGAGTAATTTTAGTTACTGGTCTTCAAATTAATTTGCTCTCCTTTACATTCACCTTTTTCCCCCTAAAATTAAACAGGGTAATTTAGGAAACTTACAGCATCAACGAAAACAGCAGTGCATGTTTTACGCAATATTAAAATTATCAAAGCAACAAAATTCATAAATATTAAACATTCAAAGTAAACTTGCTATATATTTCACGATTTTCCATAGTAAACCAATTCCTCTCATTTCTTCAAACAAAAAGTGCTTCAAAGCACAATGTGGGAAACGAGATTTTCCGAATATATGCTTCTGAAAATCTACATCTTGCTTTTAAATATCCTCAGTGTGCTTATCCCACTCCTGGCAAGCAACCATATTTTTGAGATCAGTGAGGAGGTCCACCCATAAACCACAGTCACGCGCCAGCGATCATTAATGAACGTTAGACTTCGCTAATGCGTTCATTTCCCGGGCAATTAGTACCCTCGCCGCAGGCTAACGCCCGGAACGGCGCTCCGCACCGTTGGCTCGGCGATAATATGGTTTAATATAATTTAATAATATGTTTAATTGTTGATCCCATAACTTGGATATACCGTTGAAAAATGTAAATGAAATCGTGAAGAATACAGTGGAATTACACATCAGTCCACCAAAATGTGGCAACTTTGAGAAGCAACTAACATAAAGAGTTTAATTAATGGATTTAAGATCAATCTGAACTAGAATAGTTCAAGTGGTGGTGTTCACGTTCTATAATTACTAATTACTTGCTTAGCAGCCTAGAACTTTTCCAATTGTTGCCAACGATAATTTAGTCAATTCATTATATACAATTACTTGATGGATTGCTCGAGTGTTTGGATCAGGCCGATCCAAATACGGAAACCATAAAGTAACTGTTTTATAAAATAACAGCAACACGATAGTCTTCCGTGTTTGGATGGCCTGATCCAAACACGGGTTGAAACCAATCAGAGCACGCGTTATATACATGTTATTTTATAAATTTAGTTAATTCATTTAAGATGTCTCCCTACAGTTATTCTTGTTTGTGCAATAATTCCGTAAAACAGGCTTATACGTGCAGAACGCGAATTCTTTTCGACTTGGTGGCATTGGTCACCTAAGGAATATTTCAAACTTGATTTCGACAACGTCAGTGTTCCCATGGCAACATAACGACAGCATAAACCCTTCCAATTTAACCCATAAATGTGCCGCTATCTCAAAAACGATGTCGGTGACCTATCTTTTTTATTTCATGTATCATTAGGGAATGATGCTCTGCAACTGTGGTGAAAGTTTAAAAAAATTCTGTAGTGTGTGATTTTTTTAAAAGCGAAAATTTTATTGCGAAATTTCCACACTAAAGATTTTTTTTTAAATTTTAATTAATAAAATTTACCGCAAAATAAATTCGTGATCAAAATCCGAAGATAGGTCACCGATGAAACTAATGAGTAAAATGCAAATAAAGTTAGAAAATAGCCTCGTGTAGCTCGAGAAATTCTAACCTGAGTATCAGGCCCTTGGTATTGAAGAGAGCCTGACACAATTCCCCTCTACGGGCTTTCCACCCCCAGAATATCAGCCAATTAAAATTATTTCCGGTTGTAGCATATTTCCGGTTGTCCGCTACAGATATTTAAATACGCAAATTTCGTTATTTGCAGTTTTGTATAAATTTGAATAAATACGGAGAAAAATCGGTATGTTTTTGTCGAAATATCCACATGATGGAATTCTAAGCGTAAACTATGCCTCATTCGGGGAACCATAGCTCGATGGCTTTTTCCAGGAGTCTAAAGAGACAGCATTCGGCGCTCTAAATAGGATTCTTCTTCCTCGGTCCTCGTGTCATGTTAATAGTTTATTCGAGACAGCTATTCGCTTCAACTGCGTCTGACACAGCGGCTATTGTCTTCAATTTCTGCCTGATGTTGGCATATTAGTTCGAGCGAGCTGACTACTATATCCTTGCAGGTCTTGGAAAACAGCTCGGCAATAAACTGATATAAATAAGGCTTCATGCTTTTTGGAACTAAATATTTGAAAATTTCCGACATCCACATATTTTCGTTCCACGGCGACTATTACGGCGAGATATTTAGACACGCTTTCTACTATGACCATGTAGTTTTAGTTTTATACCGAGTAAAATGTTGCTGCAAAAACGTTTTAAACGTCATTTCGTACTTATTTTGTCATTTTTAGGCTTAATTAATTGAAAATAAATTTCAGAAATAAAGCACTTTTAACAGTATATTGACAAAATTACAAATTCTATTTTTGGTGTTTACATACGCCGGTCATATATTTCCGGTTTGAATCACATGACGCGTTTTATCGTCTCTTAGACAATCAGCATAACATCCAGATTCTGGATGTTGAACATGGCTTTAGAGGCGAATTGTGTCAGGCCCTCTTTCAATACCAAGGGCCTGATACTCAGGTTAGAAAAATTCCCCTTGTTGAAAAGCGTCGCTGACTAGTAAATGATTGTACGCGGGCGCAGAACGAGCTTTCATTCAGCAAAATCGAGCGGCAATGTTGTTTTTACTGTTTTGTTTTGTCAAATTTTCGATTTACTTGAGTGCCATGGACAGCCAAGGATTATTGTGAAGGATCAAATCGATGAAAACAACAAAACCTCTTTAAGATTGAAACTGATTGAACCCTGCCGTTTACTCAATCTATCAGCTGTAACAGCCTATTAACAGGTAGACGTGTTTTTTGTTTCATGTTTGGTTTTGTACTTTTTGCTAAAAATGAACAATTAGGCTATGAAACTGAAATATTTTTCTGTTTATATATAAGAACTTTAATCTTGTAGAAACACGACTAAAAACGTGAACGTTTTCTTGTGAAGTAAACAACTTTTTAAACGTTTGTATCCAATTTTGCAAATATTTGACAGTTAACAGTGTTTATTACTAGCGTGACAAAATTACTGGATGCTGATTGGTTGAGAGGTGTACAATTATTTCATTAATTATTTGTCTTCTGTAATCAGTGGCAAATACTGCAATTTCATTGGTTTACAGGAGTACGATTTGAGCATTAATCGCACCTTTTCTGAGCTGTAATCGCGCTATTGTCTACAACCAATGAAAATCAGACTAGTATTTACAACTAGCCTATCAGCATTCAGGATACAAACTTTGAATTTTATTTTCTTTATTACTGTAAAAGAAATCAAAATGGAGGAATTCAAAAATTTTGAAAATTTTGACCTTTTAATTTTTAAATCAGCCCTCGAAAACCGTCAAAATTGAGGTCGGAAAAAAAAAGCCGACCTAAATCTGACCTAGCTCGGCACATCTCGACATTTTTTTAAATCTGTTGCCATGTCTTGGAGCACTAGTAGCCTGTACTAGTAATCACGCATTTACGAGTCATTGAAAAGTATAAATGTCACGAAGGCTTTTCTTTTAGGGTCTTACCTAAATCATATCATAATACCCGTTAATTCTTAAACCTTACACCAAAGTGTATTGAATTCTATAATCGCTGACTTTTTAACAGTTTTCAGCACCAAAAATGTTTCTTACTTTGGCTGAATTAAGTTTGGCAAAACATTGCCGACCTGGGAGGTTGATAGGTCGGCATTTAATAGGTCGGCATTGCCGAATGCCGACCTCGTTTTCGAGGGCTGTTAAATTATATATTTTCTGACGAAAATGACCTATATGTTCTTCCAGCAGAAGACACCGAACTAGACACAAGCAGGAATTATATTTCAATCAGATTCAGATTAAACTGAACTAAAGAACTTCACTATTTTGAACACGTTAATATAAACATGCAAACATGGCTTCCCAATTGTGTGTTGAATAATTCAAACAATGTTGTCATGTGATTATACCGGAAATAATACCGGGAACTTAATAATATGTTAATTTGATTATGATAAATTTAAATTTAATTCAAAATTGTACTATTTCACTATAAAGAATTGTCGTGAAAAAAATTTAATAATTATATTGAATTTCAACAAATTGTATTTTTGTGCTTTTCCCCCTTAATTAAACAGTTTGATTACAGAAGATAAATAATTAATAATTAATAGAACGAATTAAGTCGTACTATTAATGCCATAATCATACTCGTGATTAACAAATCAACCTCCCGCTACGCAGTCGGTTGATTTTGTAATCACTCGTATGATTATGGCATTAATAGCACTCCTATTCTTTCTATTACCATCATTAATTGTACTGCAGTACAATTAATGATTTTCCCAAAACAAACAAAATGGCGGAAAGGTATTTTAAACACAATTGCGAAATGATTTCGCCGTGGAGAAACTAGATGAAAATACGAACAAAAGCACCAAATTTTGCTTGAACAAAAGAACTAAATGAGAATACAAACCAAAGCACCAAATTTTGGTTGAAAGTCTGGCAGGACTGGGCTTTGGCGAGAGTATATGATGTTGACATAATTTGAGTAGTACGTATCCAATTTTGTCATGCTAATAATAAACAAGTAATCATGCGATGTTGCTCGTACAATTAGGGATTAATAGTACTCGTGATGTTTGGAAATTTGCCAAATCGGGCTCGCCCCGGCGGCCCGTCCAATTTTGGCAAAATTTCCAAACATCACTCGCACTATTAATCCCTAATTGTACTCGCCATCGCATGATTACCTATACATATTTTAAAAAATTTTAAAAACATTGTTTCGTAGCTATTTTTTGATCTAGTGATATTCGTATCATATGTAGAATTGCTGTATAGACTCGCAAGTGATTTAGCACTCAAAACGAAGTATTATTCAACGCTTTTTTCCATTTGAAACCTTTCAGAAATGGCTTTTTGTTTAAAAAAAGCCCGGTCAATTTTTGTTTTGTTTTGATCATGCGGTTGCGTGGGATAGTTCACGTACTGGTCCCGCGAACATCCCCCACGCAACTGTAGGGAGCCTCCTTAAGTTTTTTTTTTTATGCAAGTGTCGGATCTCCCTACGAAGTCCAAAGAGCCATCTGGGATCGATTGGTGATCGCTCAAATTAAGATCGCGCTCAAAGTATGCTACGATGCCAAAGTATTCGCCCAAGTTTGTCTAAAGGATATAAGAACGTTTAATCAGATAATCATGCGTTAGCTGAGTTTTCTTTGGATTTTGTCTGAGTTAAGTGCGGTAATTCAATATATATAATAGTTAATATTCAATTAGCATGACTAAGGGTCATGTTTAGAAACATCTTACCTGCGCTGCCACAACCCTCGTAACCTTCGTTTTTATTTTCTGATTTCGGAGAGTCGCGGCGTTCACGAAGTGCTACAATTTGACCCATATTAGACTCGTCCTCTACCAGTGAATCTGTATCTATGAAATAATTTAGAATAACAATTCAGATTACACTAATCAGAGAAACAGTCGCTATTTAGTTTGACTCTTTGTCTACGATCCGTAATGAAGTCTAATCTCAACCTGATTTTCAAGCTGTATCATAACGTCTCCAAGTGGTGATTCGCACAAAAATTGCTTTCTCGCGTCTTAAACAATAAGGCTATTAACATTTAATATTTAGTTTAAATATGCCCTGAGACATAGTTCGATATAAATACACACAAATATAAAACCACGCGTAATCTTTTTTTATTCTTGTTTATACTGCAGCAAATATACGGAAACGCTGAAAACTGAAAACGGTCGTTGCTCACATCCCTTCACGTACGTACTTCGAAAGATTAATTTGCAAACTATGCTCGTACACAACAATAACAAAAATACATATGTTGAATTCTTATTGACAACGGTTCTGCTATTTTTAGACAATATGGTGTTAGGGAATCATAATGCAAAATTGACCGGCGCAGACTATCCTCTCGTCCTAACACAAACGCCCTGGTAACGAGGTCACCAATCCCTCCCCTTGCTATGTTTAACCTGAAAACAACAATGGATGCTTCAAATGGTACGTTACCTTGTTAAACGTTTTCAAACAGTGAAGCTAATTAATTAGCCAGCTCCTACAGAATGCTAGCGCCGAAGATTGAAAAGAAATTAATAGAGAAAATTAAATGCGACTTTTTCATATTTGGCAAAATAATTAATCTCCCTAATCGAAAATGATTCATTAACAAAGTGAAAAAATGGGCGTAACCGTCGTTCTTTTCGACTTAAATTGGTTAAATAAAGCCAAAAAAGGTTCACAATGTAGAAATTCTATTGTTACCTTGGCAACGCCAGTGACGTTACTTCTCAGATACTTTTCGCTTTTCAACAAGTAACCTTTCCGGTCGCACACACTAGAATACTACATGTTCCTGCCAAAGATGCCCACTGAAGATGTCCGCCCGAAATCGCGTTTGCCTATCCTTTTCCCTACTTGGTGAAGTCATTATTCGCCCACCTTCGCCACTTAATGAGTGCATCATTAACTACAACTTTCTTTCAAATTTTATTCAAGTAAAAAAATCTTTGGACCATTTCCCCATGGGGGTTAAAAGCAAGGAAAATTTGAACTGCGAAATCCAGAAGGCGACTAGCTATATAACAACGTTTAAGCACGTATTCAAGGGCCGTTTAAGTTCGAAAAAAGGGTTACATCTAAAATGGATATTATATGAATGTCTAGGTTTATGTTGGCGAAAAATTTATTTTGAACAATGAAAGACATGAAAGTAACCTGCAACAATATTCGAGGCGGAACGTAGCTTTCAAATTTCCGCGCGTATTTAGCGCTTCGATTCAAATACAGGAAATTGTATTCTTACAAGAAGCTACAAGAGTTGAAGGAAATTACAAGTGTCCTACCTGATAGCTTCCACCGTTCCCATATAATAAACACTTTTCTTTTCCTGTATTTACTCTATTATATTTGCAGACATTTCCCTCTCCATTTCCGTATACTCGCGCATTCGCTTTACGTTTCACAGCGGCGTATGCAGATGGTATATAGTTCTTGCTCATATTTCGGTCTGGCTAGATGTGTTGAGTCATTTTACACTAGAAATTGCCATAATTATGTGATGTCATCCAACACTAGTTCAAACGAATGAGAAGCGCAAATATTCTGATACACACTCATAATAAGTCTCCTATCTATAATTGAATAACAATGGTTCGTGTCCCCTTGGTTTTTTAGATTGTTCTGTCAGCTGACTTAGAGATAAGAATTTTTTACACAACTAGTCAATATTAATGTATAATGTTCACTACATAAACATACTTATAAAACGCTGAGCCTCCCAGGAATGATCGAATCCCAAAGGAGCTTCTTGTTGGTTGTTTTTTTCTTTAATATTTGCGCTTAGTCCTGCGTGTAAATACAATAAGCAATAGTTAGTACAGAGACAAAACGAATGGATTTAAATGAAAATGACATGACTTCTAATGTAAATTGCTACTGATCTGGACAACTCAATACTGCATGCAACATCATTATGTTAAAATTTTGGAGAAAACACCTTCCACCATACCTGCATGCACAGTTAGATATTAAGCATGTATACTAAACGATTCTCCTAGTGGGAGATTTCAGATTTTTCCAAAGGGAATATTTTGAAATTGTATTAATTAATGAATGGTGTGGAACACTTTTCAAAATTAAGCTCTGGGAAGTACGATAGCGCATAAAATTCACTGGGTTAGTTATTGATAATTTTATCGCCAGACTGGACGATGAATCGCTCTTCTGTTTTTACGGCTTCCCCACCCATGTCCACTCAGCTGTAATGCACGTCAGCTCTCGGTCATTCTTGTACTCAATAGGCTGGGCGAAAAAATCTTTCAATCTAGCTCAAGGTTTCAGGCTAATGCAGGGTATATATTTTTAGCTCGAGTTATGAAAATGTATATTAATAAAATAGCCACGATTATAAAAAACACTTAGCAACCAAGGACGAACATTTTACTGTAATGTTGGCAAGGAAATGCTGTACGTTGTGCTTGCGGTTTGGTCATATCCAACGACTATTTTTAGGATGTTAAAAGTGGCCTAACATTAAACAGATGCACGATGTAATGTTAATACATATCATCCCACGGAAGGTACTTGCCTAAAATTTGTACCAGGAATTGCAGGAATAGAACTACTTTGAACATCATTATATTCAGTCGATTCAAAACAGGTCTAAAAGAGACAAATGTATAATACTAATTTTCAAAAAAGGATAGATTTGAACTGCAAAAGTATTTATTGAAAGCGTTTTGTAAATAATATAGTCCCATATCAAGGAATTAGGACACAGAACTGTATATGCCCAATTTTTAATTTAATTTACTATGCCTCCTCGATTATTAATAATTAATTATTATGAACAACTATATGCCTTTAATACTTACTATATGAGCAACGATGAATACGCTCGTCCCAAATATTGAATAACTTAAATTGGCTGACACTAGAAGATAGGCGAATGAAACAAAAATCATATCTGATGTTCAAAGTATTCAACAAATTAGGCCCATCTTACTTATCTTTCACGGACGTTTAATCGAGCGAATTTAATTCACGGCCATGGTACAAGAGGTCATGACTACAATTTTGTTATCTTTCCGAAACACCAATTTTTTTAAATTAGTCCGGAATATATTGGAGCAGTGCATGGTATTGATTCAATACACTAAAAATTTTCACAAACTGAAAACTGTGGTGTATAAATAATTTGTATACAGCTTTAATTTATCAATTTCCTTGAAAATATTGTAAATAATTCAAATGGCATGGCGCCTGGGAAGATCATCTCAATTTGGATCACAGGCCTCTGTGCTTAAATATAATTCACTATCACTCTCAATATCAATATCACAATTATATTTGAGAAATTTCGTTTCGGGCGCGCTTTTGTTTCTATGGAGTATGAATAATTTGGTCATGTTAATGCACATTTCTTGTTACCATGAGTCCATGACTACGCAGTTATCCTCGCCGTTTTTGCATATTTCAATTTAATTAAGATACGTCAGTTTTACTTCCTTAATAGTATTATGCACTGTGTGCAAGTAATTTTACTGAAAGACATCTGCAAAAAAATACACCAAGATATTGAGTTACAGTATTGCAACAAACGGCGTCAACTACAAGTTGTATATTTATTATTTCGTATAGCAGCTGGCAGGGAATGAACTTATAATTATACTGTATGCCAGTAATATATTAAGCGATTCAATGCAGAGCATTGACATTGTGTTTCCGAATGGCAGATATAAATACGTACAGTTAATTTAAACCACATTATAACTCATAAGAACGAAGATTGATTAAGAATTGACAGTAGCCTATATAAATAATTTCATGATAGAACAGATATTTGATTGTGCGACGCCTATAACAAACGAAGCGAAACCACTATGTCAACAATCACTCAATTTTAATTAATTAATTAAGTCGAAACTATACACTTAGTCAATGGCGATAGACAAACTGCTCTCAAAAGTTAAGATATTCGAATCGCCGTAATGCATGGCTGGTAATAGTTTGAAACAAGCGAGCAACACCTATATAATATAGCAGAACATGATGAATTGTGATTATACTCATTGACAGCTAGAGTATCTGTAATTCAATATCAATATTTTACAAATTGACTGATTACATATTTTTCGCACTTGTGAATTATTTTTACATATTATATTCCGAAAAATATGGGGGTAAGAGAATAGCATCCTTACACGGGCCATTTTGCAAAAGTATACGACTCAGAAGCAAACGAAGCTTATAGTTTAACGCAATGTCCATGTACTTCCTCATTCCTATAAATCAGCTCATAAATATACTAGATTTAATTAGTCTAGATCATTCAGATAAAGAATGTCAGGTTCCACTTTGAAAGGTCTCCCATTTGAAGCCAATGTCTACTTAATCTTGCTCTTTAAAGTAAGTTCAAAGTAAATTTTCGGAATATGACAAGGTTTATTGAGTGCACTGTCTGAAGTAAAGGTCTTTACAGACCGGACGCGATTCGGCAACGCTACGCGAATTTTCAGTTTTTAAAAACAAATAAAACCGTCAACCGATAAAAATTTTACAAGATATGCAGACCAAATAGATAAAATTGCTTAAATGGTTACGAATATTTGAAAAGCATGGCAAAATATTAAAGTTAAATGTCATTGAAAATTGAAAATTCGAGTCGCGTTGCCAAATCGCGCCAGGTCTGTATGGACCTTTAGGCCTCTAGCGGATATACGTTCACTTACCTTAATTTAATTAACAAGAAAAATAGACAAACTTACTCCAGCTGGCCGATGAGGTAAATAGAAACTAAAAAAATGTTTAGAGATTTATTACTTACCTAATTCAAATACAAAAGCGACATCACATCGACCGACTTAAATAATATGGACCGGCAATAAAATGAACTAATGCCAAAACCTTGTGTGTTTGGTTATTCATGCCTACAAACTCCAGCTGAGAATGGCATTTCAATTGCATGGGAAAGTTATGCTATTTAATCACATAATATATAAATATTTAAATCGATAATTTACTGTACAAGACGACTGCTGAAAATGAAACTTTCCATATAGCTATAGTGCAAAATGTACACATTTTGTCCTTGCATGTTTAACAGACGAACAGTTCTTTCACCAGTTTCTAAATAAAAAAGCATAATATTCAATTTGTGACAATATGCTATCCTCGAATAAAATAAATGAAAAGGATATAGGAAAACGAAAAAAAAGTTATGTTTGTTCTGTTAAACGTTGTTAAATGTTGCAACAATGTGCTGTTTAAATATCAAAGGAAGTTAGCGGTTATTCAGTCGTGTACACTGAGATAATTAAGTGTACACGGATGTGTCGCAAGACGTATTAGTTGTTGCAATTGTTCAACATGAGCTCCACCTTTGAATTTACTATATGAGTAAATTCTTAAACACGTCCGCGAATTTATCATTATGAAGATTTTCAAGATTTTCGAACTAATAGTTTTTAAAAAAGTTTTAAAAAAGTTTTAAAAGAGTTTTAAAAGAGTTTTAAAAAGCAAAAAAAGTTTAAAAAGTTAGATTTTTGAAAAAGTTAAAAAAGTTTAAAAATTGAAAAAGTTATAAAGGTTAGGGTTAGGGGTCAGGGGTTAGTGGTTAGGGGTTAGTGTTGGGGTTGGGGTTAGGGTTAGTGATAGGTGCCGCGAATTTATTATTATGATAAGTTCAAAATGTGCCGGGAATTTAGCATTATGATATATTCGGATGTGCTTAAGAATTTACTCATATAGTAAATTCAAAGGTGGAGCTCTTGCTAAATTGTTATATATGTTTTCATTTGGAATGCAATGTTCTTGTCGTTATGCTGAGAAGTTGTTAAAATACTCATATTGTAGCTGGAAAGATTTGGTGATTTTATAGATGGAACGAATAACCACGGATATAGTAATTTTCCGATTCGTAATCAGTCATGGTCATCTGAAACAATCAGTGTCACCATTTTCAGCCTGTGAATATGAAATGAGTTCTATTCACCATTAATGTAAAGTTTCGGCTGCTCCTTCTTCTAATTAATACGTCATGTGTACTAAAGTGCATTCCAATGAATTTTGACTTGAAATTATGTTTACCTGACGCGTAGAAATTGATGTAAATTGAGTATTCACAGCATACTGGCGTCGCAAGAAATTTGGCCAATAAAATTGGCCTCCAGGATAATATTTCCTAGGAAATTTGGTCCCGTGTTCGAAAATTTGGTTAATTCATTAAACTAGATGCCTCCTATATTAGCATTTTTTAAACGTCCATATAAAATTTCATTATCGAGGAGATGATGGCATAATCGGCGTTTTAAAACATTGTAAATGTTGAACTACCGTTATACTGTAAATTAAAGTGCAAAACTAATTTAATTAGGCTTTACGTTAGCGCTGAAATTCCTGATGCGCGGACACGTGGCCATAATGACCATTACGATATTTTGGCGTAAATGCGGATCACAGCCCTTACAATGCATTCTTCCTTTGTTTCCTTAAAAGCACGTGGCACAATTGTGAAGCCTGCCTTCCTTCAATTTTGCTACTGTTTCTCAAGCTCATTCCCTCTAATAGCACTGATGTATTTGTGAGCGCATTATATCTGCAAAGGCTGTCGTCGCGGAACTTCGAAGCAGAATAGTCAGGTTCGCGGCTCCGCTGAGTTTGCATCTGTCGAGTTCGTTGTGTTAAGACGTCCGGACGTGTGTATAAAACCCGTGTTTCGCGTTTTGGATATCTCCTTTTTTACTCTCCAATGTGACGCACACTGAAAGTGGTGACACTGCTTCTTACTTCTGACTCTGCCGCTGCTTGCCAAACGGAAATTTTCGGGATATGCAGCGTCGTGTCTAATTGACCGATTGATCCCCGAGCCAACGGCGCAGAGCGCCGTTCCGGGCGTAAGCCCTGGGAGAGGGTACTAATTCCGCCTGGCTATTACACCAGGGAAACGCATTAGCGAAGTGTGAAGTTCATCAATGATCGCGGGCGTCGGTGCCTACGAGCGCGAAAGGCTGCTGGGATTCGCTAATAAATGAATGAATTTATTAGCGATTCCCAGCAGCCTTTCGCGCACGTATTCGACTTTTCCGCTTTGCTCGGGGGATAACCTTACTTGAAATAGCTGTATACGCAACGTTTATACGATCGGCTTTTAAAGCAATTATAAAGCAAACAATACATTAATATTTCAAACAAACTTACCTTAGTTAACGTCGGCTCCTTTGCCCCCTTCTTTTAGCCGATTCTTTCGCTCTTTTTTCTTAAAAACCTTTTGAAATTCACAAATTCTTGCAAAAATGAAATATTTCTGCAACAAGTCATCAAATCTTAGATCAAATCAAGAAATTTTTGCTATTTCCAAATGCAAATTTTAAATTTGACCAATCAGTCTTCGCTATTCATGACAGTCCGCCATATTTTTGAGATCTGTGAGAATGACCACCCATGGTTGGTCAACCACGGCCGTGATCATTGATGAACTTTAGACTTCGCTAATGCTTTCGTTTCCCCGGGTGTAAATAGCTGGGGAGGGGAATTAGTACCCACGCCCCGGCTTACGCCGGGAATTGCGCTCCGCGCCGTTGGCTCGGGAATAAAAACATACCTAACGTACATATATAATATGTTAGGGGAATTGATAATTACGTAATTAAAAGAGATATTTTTAGGGGATTTTTCGTTTGTAAAAGTATTCTTAACAAAATTATCGTGTTACCATGACTACTACTTTAAATACTTCATGTTCGGAAAATACAATGGTTTTGTAAACTAGGCGAGGGATCTCTGTGTGCAGCATGTAATTTCTGGTAGATCAGTTGACTATAGGCAAACAGGTCAATTGTATGTAGAGTTGAATATGCACAGACTACAGCTAAATATTGCGAAAAAAGACTCTAAAACAAATGTACATGCAAACATATATGTTAAATTAAACTTAAACATTTTGGAAGTTTAGTGTTTCAAATTTTTTATCGCAGCTACTCATTTCGGTTCAATTAAGAGGGCTCCATACAGTTTCCAATATATGTCAGTGTTTTAAACTAAAACCTATTTAATTGATTTGAATATAATTTATTTTTTTTCACCAGCCATTGTTTCCACACCGTAGTTATTTGTTCGCTAAGAAGGCTTTCTTGGTTGATCTAGGCCATATGGATGGTAACGTCATGTTGTCATGGTAACGTGAAGAGTAGCGATTGTGGGTTAAAATTAGTTTTTTATATAAGAGGAAACAATGGCTTGTGCAAAAAATTAGTATTCTATATTCGAATTAATTAAATAGGTTTTAGTTTAAAACACTGACATATATATTGGAAACTGTAGGGAGCCTCCTTAAGAATATATTTCCAGCCATTAATTGCTTTCCGACATAGGCAATACGGAGCTATTGTCTTACCTAATATGATGGAATTTGTTCAGAGCAATGATATTCATCAGCCAATAAAACATCAGAAACGCCAGACAAGCTTGCTTCCTTGATTTCCGTTGATAGCTCGAAAGCGAAACTGTCGTATTGGCACATTTTATCTTTTGAATATTGACGAAATTTCAATGATGTGCCAGTTCGCGTTTTAAACATTTTATACACTAACATTTCGAAGCAGCCATATTGGTTATATATATATATATACCGCGTGTGTTACACACGATGCAATTAATGAGTCATGTGCACATGCGCAGATACAGCAAAACGTGCAAGTAGAAAACTACACAACGTTTTGCAAAATAGAGATGCGTAATACGATAGTTGTCATGCATACTATGCATGTATGACAACGAGGTCAGCATTACAGTGTAAATCATTTGTTCGTGGTATTACTGTTAAGCAAGAACAAATCTTAAAACACTGGATATCTTTATACAAACAAGATAACAAGTATAATATAATATAAATTGCTCTTTGCCAATAGTATAAGCTGGATAATACCAACGCATATTCACACTGCATTGCTGTTTAGCTATAAATTATGTCAAAACACGTCCACATGTGATACGTGTTACGGCAAGACTTTACACTGCATCGAACAAGCACTGGTTCATTTAATCATGTTTAAAGAACCATCTCAGTTTGAGGGATGAAGTTTGGTAGTCCATTCCCTTGTTTGTTCGAAAACGTTGAGGACGTGAAGGTTCATGTGTTAAAAACGATTGATGTATGCATACATACGCATGTATAATCATCAAAATGCAGACGAGATTCTTTCGATCAATATATACACTGTCAAATAACTGCTCATATCCGTTGTACCTACAAAGAAAATCGCTTCCCCTATTATCACCCTGAACGACGTCGGTGAACACAAGAGTGAATGGGCAGTTGATTCCAAAGCGTGGGTAAAAAACTGGAAAAGCGGGAGAAGCTTAAGAATAATTAGCGTTAAAATATTATGTGTACAGTATACCTGCATGCTGGCCGCTAATACAGGTTTACCTTTCCTTTTGGTAGTGACCTCAACCTACCTACAGTATTTCACCAGGAAGGAGTGCAGTCAATAGAAGTAAAACGTTTCAGGTACGTAATGAGTGGAAATATATTTAGCAGATCTCAACGGCTATTTCGTTCTACTTTTTTGCAAGAGTCTGGCCATAACGTAATAATTTTGTTTTAGTCCAGTTACCCGACCGTGCAGTTACATGACGATCTATTTCGCAATGATTTTATAACTTCGCTTCACATCGAAAAAACTCAGCCACTTCACACAAGAAGCGCAGCAGAAGTGGGTATACTGTCGCATTTTTAAATGATCTGTATGTCTGTGAGAATTTTACAAAAGACAACAATTGCTTTGAACTTTGAAATTGCTAATGAATTTTGCTCTTCTCGGCGTATTGTAAGAGGCATTGCAAACCATTTATGTTATTGTAATTTACCATCCGAGTCCCTATAACATTGCATATTTCTCTTTCTATATATATATATAACGGACGTTCTGAGCGCATGTTATGTTGCCAAGAAACATTTTTGTGTCAGTGACATGGGCGTGTAATTCATGTTGAAACGTGTTTAGAGAACTCAATTTGGGAATATAGACAGGAAGTTTGTTACCTGTACAAACTGTCCCATTACCAGTAAAATTCCTGTAACAAGTGCACATGTACGAACCAATCTTGTTTGTACAGATCGCATATTCTGAGCACGAGTGTCTGTGAGTGTCCGAGATACATTCGTCTATATCTGTAAAATACATCTATTTTGAAATCCAATAATGAATGTAGAATGTATATGTAAATCTATTAATTGTATGTTTGCCAAAAATACACGAATGCAGCAATGCGATTAATTTTCAAATCGATGAGTCATGCATAAAGCCCATAACAGTGATTCAGCTAATACATTTCCAGTATAGAGTTAACGTTAAACAAATTTAAAATAAAACAAAACCCGCAGGAAGTAAACTACTTAGTAATTTCAGAAGGGCCATCTTAGACCCAAAAATGGGACCGATATTTTGACCCTGAGATGGCCCCATTTTAATTGGGGTGTTTTCGTACTTCTTCTCTTGACTAATGATTCTTGTTATGATTTATATCTCTGTTATCTCCCGTTCCGCTATCCGCGTGTTTTGTTACATTATATTTTAAAACGTAAATGCGGAACAACTGCTTCACTACTCTCGCCGTATACGTATGTCTCGTTAATTCTGCACCTATAATACCCCACACTTTCAATCTATGTCACATAACCCATTTAGTGTAGACACCTTGTTGTCATCCACTGACAGATTTTCACTTAGATGGCTTTTTTCTAGTAGTAAACACACCAGTGGAAATATTACCCTCATTGACATATATACACACACTTATATGCATGCATGGCATGGGAATTACCTGGACATTTAATGCCGTCCCCTTCGAAGCCTTCATTACATGAACACGTATATGATCCGGCAGTGTTGGTGCAAATTGCATTTTCCCCGCAAGGAGATTCCTGACACTCATCGCGGTCTAAAAAAATAATATTTTTCATTGAGATCCATGAAAATGGCAGTAAAATAATACTGCATGTTGTAATATGTCAGGTACAAAATGCATAGAAATCCCCCTATTATATACAGTTCCTTTGATAAATTGAATAATACAGTCTAAGTAATAATTATGATGGCAGCATTTTAAAGTGAGAAAAAACGAGTATTATTATCGCTATATTATTATCGTCCTTTTTTCTTATTATATCCCGCAACCTTTCCATAAAGAGATGCAATACATTCATCATGCATTGAGGCATGGTATAATTATACTGCTGGTTTATTTATGAAGAAAAACTTCGAAAACCACGGGCACAAAATTCAGGCAGAGTTGAATTTCTGGCATATTATAGTCGAAAAACTTTAATAACTACTCTTAGCAGAGCATTAGGAGTAACCAATGGATAAAACTCACTCCACTTCAAATAAATATGTATATCCATACCCTTTTCACACACATTCTGCATCCTCACACATGGCTCACGCTATACCTAGCTCTTACCTTACTCTTACACAGTCTCACCTCACCACGTCTCATGATCTAAACATACTAAATGTTCTAAACATATATTTGCAAACAATGGTTTTTAACCGACTTGGCATTTAATCGACATTGACAAAACAGAAGGCATCACGGAATCTAATGTGACAAAAGTCATCAAATGAAGGAAATGGTTGGAAATAAAACGGAGTAACTTTTTACAGTATCGAATCTCGTTTTTTTAATACTTCATTCATCTTTGTTGCCTACTTGTCACACTCCTGTGCATGTCCTTTCCATGATAACTAGTTTCGTCGTAACGGTTTTATCGCACCACGGAATTTGCAAATCGCCCAAGGTGTACCTGAACAATTCGAGCCGTTTCCGTTGAATCCTCTGTTACACGAACAAGCATATGATCCTTCTGTGTTATTGCAGGTTGCATCATCGTGACATGGAGATTTTTGACATTCGTCGGTATCTACAGATGAGACATTTGACTAAGATATCTGGGGATGGCAAAGTGAAGCAAGGCTGTATGATACTGACACAATCAGTGTATCTGACTGTATAATTCACAGCTTTTAAGAAGAGCAACTTTGCTCCAATAATCCGCCATGACATATACATTTCATTTGAGAATTATGAGCCCGGAAAATTTAAAATAAAATGTCCTTACAACAATGGCACCACCTCATTTCCCCGTGCACAGCAGTGCATGGTCAACCACATATACCTTCATCCTCAAACGAGTTAAATCTATAAGGCTCTATCTCCTCCCACCCCACCCTAAACTAGAACACACCCAAAAGCAAATCAAACAGGTTACTCTACCTGGTCCAACGGCACACCTCTCCACACTACCGTGTATCTTCGAGCCTCAGTTTCTCCATAACAGATATACAATTTAGCAACGCAGATAGTTATTACATGGTCTGGAGCAGGTTGTTCAAAAGCCGATTAACGCTAACCTGGCGTTAAATTTGCTTAATCTGGGCTAAAATTTTAACCGTAGGTTACTCTGGGTTGTTCAAAGTTAGGTTATCCTTAAGCCTCTGTTAAAACCAGTGTTAAATGTAACCTTCCTCACGCTAGATGGGTTATCTTGCCAATCGTCCGGTTAACTCGTATTCACTAAATGACGTCGAAGGAGTGAAAAAAGTAAACACCTAACACTCTTGGTGAAACAAACAGTGTACAATGATTTTATGCAGGAAAATCAACCTCCAAAAGTAAATTATCTAAGTCTATAAATACTATTAAGATTCTTATTCGCCCGGTATAAACCTTTGAAATTATTTTATACCTACAAGTTGGCTTTGAATTTACATACGAGCATTAAGGTGAAAGACACGGCAACTTTTTGCCCATGTTTGGGGTGTTATGGTCTAAGCATGGATATCATAATTTACTGTTTTATTGTGTTTCTGTGGAAAAGTACGTTAATTAACAAAACGCCAAAAGAAACAGCTACGTCTGCCATCAAAATATAGTTTGGTGCACATATGCCGTAATCAAGAATGTGTACATTGTATAGTAAAAGGATTTACCTCACGAGAACGTTATCGCTTGCCGCCACCAAAACTTTAGACTGTAGTTTTATTTAAGCCAAGCATTCAACTCAAGTTTCGTCGAAAAATAACTCTAGAAAAAATATTTCTATTGCCAAACAATTCGCCGTACCATCACCTGTTTTACAAAATTAAAGTTCTTGAATATCTACTGTTTGCAGTGCAGCGGTGTATTACCTAGTAAAAACATTGTTCTTAAAAGCTGTAAAACAAATTCGCTGGTTCCTTTTTGTTTTTCACTTTTCATATTTTGTTTCATAGGATAAACACGTTGCGTTGAAAAATCCCTTTCAACTGCAAAATAACTCGAAGTTCAATTGATTGGCGGGATTTTCTTCTCAAATTTATTTAATCAAGCACTGCCTAAAATTGCAAAATTGATTTCAAATGGTTTTGCCGCTTTGATCAACTATATTTTTTCTGAAACTTTTAAAATGCTTAAATTCGTGTCTGAAATGTTCAATTTCAGTTGCCTATTACTTGTTAAACAATAGTTCTCCCATCTATTCCATTCTATTCCTAGTTTTGACACTTACTTTCCAGCCAAACAAAAATTTCTTATATTACATTTATCTTTAAAACAAATTTAACCTTGGGTTGACTAACCGCACCTCTAACCCAGCTTTGAACAACGCAATTTCTACTCAGGGTTAACTAAACCTGGGCTAAGTATTCTAACCCAGGGTTAGCGCTAACCATGGATTAAAGTTAACGAGCTTTTGAACAATCGGTCCTGTTTGCAATTTTCGTAAAGAAAGAAAGAAGGAAAAGTTTGCCTAACACAACATCCCACATCTTCCCTACAAGAACATCCCCTCACGCCCTCCTTTAAAATGCCATCGAAATCGTCACAGTACCAACTTAGTCTGCAGGGGAGTAGGAAGCATAAAAAACGTTGGGGGGCACCTGTTCTAGGGGCACTTTAGGGTATTGAATAAGGCACATAAAAAATTCTCCCGGAAATGTTGGCGACGGGGGGGGGAAGAGAGAAAAACTTTCCAGTCGTACCATATCGAAGATGCACGTTTTTGACACAATTTTTTTAAAAAACTTGGAAATTTCCAAACAAAAAAGGCACTTTCGATTTTAATTTAGTATTTACAGCCACATTAGTTTGTACAAAAGGGCATTTTTCATCCCAAAAAAGGGCACATTTCATCCCAAAAAAGGGCACTTTTAGTCCTTTGAATTTTTTTTTTTGGGGGGGGGGGACACGTGCCCCTCGTGCCTTCCCCCCGGTTCCTACGCTCCTGTTAGTCTGTCACCCTTCTCCCATCCTACTAGGCAAATCTAGCCTTAATTTACGTTACATAACCTGAAATTTAATTTAATGATTTGTGATAGAATTAGCAACAATCACAACACGCATGCCCAAAATTATTATTAAATGCTGGAACTGGCTGAAGTATCCAATTTAGATCCCTTTTCAAACATTCACTTAATCTTAGATATTTTTATCCAAATTTTTTTGATGGCTGAAATTTCGCCTTCATACTAAAGGAATACCGAATGGTTTTCCGTGCAGGATTGCGTGATCCATGCACGCGGGATGTTGCGAGACTTTCGGAAAGGGTAAAAAGACACGAGCCGTAGGCGAGTGTATTTTTACGCTTTCCGAAAGTCGAGCAACATCCCAAGTGCATGCATCATGCTATCCTGAACGGGAAAACCATTTGGTAATTGTTTTATAAAATTACTACAGTGAAACGACGCTTAACGTGATTAAAATTACTGATGAAATGTGCAGTTCTCACAACATTCGTGAATTAACCAATCAGAGAATCGCTACTTCACGCTATTGAAAACAACAACACATGTGAACAGAATTTGATCGCAAATTCACGAAAATATACAGCGAAAATACATGGACTTTTTCGATAAAATAGACGAAATTTCAAATGGAAAACCCGCTAAACAGAGAGCCAAAGTAATTTTGAAGATTCTCCAGCTGAATATGTGAAGATTGCGAAGCATTTGATCAATTTTGAAGCGAAAGATGTTGTACTTACATGCCATGGTCTGATGAATTTCAACGCTATACGCGTTGCTACTTGCTGAATAACAATGTGTCGATCAGAAATTTATTCATACAACTAAACGAACGTCTCAATAATTGGAAACTTACTTCAAAGTCGAAAGGTATGGTACAATGAAACTTTACAATGCGAGTATATTTGTAAAATTATGTGCAAGAATTTCTGTTCAGAATTTCCCGTGCAGGATTGTTTGACCCTGCACGGCTGTTGACCAATCAAATTGCGTGTTTCACTGTAGTTATTATATAACAGTAAATGCCTGAAAAGGAATCTAATCGTCACGAGTGCAGAGAACATAACGTATTCGCCCAACTCGTGGATTACCTAAGCACTGAGATCCATTTCCTTCGAATCCTTCGTTACACAAGCAGTTGTATGATCCTTGTGTATTATTACATGTTGCATTATTCCCGCACGGATTGTTTTGACATTCGTCCTGGTCTGAAAATAAAAGATTCGTATAAAAATTAACATCTAGACCGTTTACTCTAAATTCTTCAAACTCGTTACTCGAAATTACTCCACGGAAATTTACTTAACCAATCTCACCTTATACCTTCCTTAACTAATCTGATTTTACTTACATGTTCAGAACGGCTAAACAGTTATTTGTTATATTCTCCTGCTAATGGGTGGACAAAATAAACTGTTTCGAAAGCGAAATGGCCAAAACAAATAATTTTGACCACTTTCGATGTTCACTAATAATCTCGGGAATATTTTCGCTGAAGGTAGGCTACTGCCTCGCTAAATTTTCGCCTTCAACAGGTTTAGGTACAGTATAGGATGAATAGGAATTCAATATATAATGTTTGCACCCAGCAAACACCATATACGCTGTTCGCACTTGGCTCGGAGATTACCTAAACATCGGAATCCATCTCTTCCGAATCCTTCCTTACAAGAACAGTTATATGATCCTTCAGTATTATTGCACATTTCATTATTCCCGCAAGGGGACTCTAGACATTCATCGACGTCTAAAAATAAAATATTCTATTAAGGTCTAGGAGAATCAAAAAGATGTCACACAGAATGACACATAGTCTGCATTTTAATATCCGAAACTGACTAGCATAATCGATGTAGTCCGAAAATGACTATGACAACTGCATTACATGCAGCAAAATGCGAAAAATAAACCATCAGAACTCACACCATCTCATGCATGTTGACTTAATGATAAACAACATATAAAAAACCGCGACAACTTTTGGCATTTCCGGAATCAGAGAAGCTTATTATACTGCATTGTTTCTTGCTCCACCCAACACCTGGTCACACAAACTTTCCTTAGCCCAACTCGATTCACATTACATAATATAACCGAGTTAGAACACTTTGAAACTCACATTTAAAGTGACTCGTCAGGTTTGAATTGCGCACTTTTACTGCGCTTATCTGATAGCAAATTCTAGTTAGTATATGTAGTCGACTGCAATGCAAAGTTATAAAGAAAAAAGTAAGAGAGCAAAGAGAAAAACACTCTTCAGTGATTAGGCGTGCTTCAGGAAGTATATAGCTACCTTGAAAATTGTGGACAGGAATCTGTCCAGTGCTCCATGTGCAACTAACACCAAACCGCATCATGTTGCATGTATAACTCTGATGTTTCTTTATATTAAGAAGACCAGTGACCTAACAGTATATAGTCGCTAGATAGGCATTTTAGTTGGATTCATGTATAAAAAAAATCAATAATGTTTGAACAATTGCGATTGATCCTGTAACTCGTAAAATGATCAAGATAATAATAATAATGGTATTTTAATAACATATCATCGCATGAAAATGAATTACAATGTGTTTTACAATTGATTTGAATGGGAATTACAATACTAAAAGTAACTATATTACAATATATTATTAGATTATTAAATAAGAACTTATAACTAAGAACAATTATTTGTTTAAAACACTAATCATGCTAGGGAAAAAACTATTACCAAATCCATCAGTTCTACATTTAAAAGAAGCGAATTGTTTAAAATTCCTTAAATTATACACATGTTCGTTCTCACTGGTGAGAGTTAGATGGGAAGAAAGACGACTGCCCAATGCAATGCAATATTTTTCATCGTCTTTTCGCAAAGTTCACCTCGACGTATATCCAGCCTAGGACACTGCAACATTTCTTGCGCTTCACCGTAGGATCGACCTGGCAGTATAATCCTCAGTGCACGTTTTTGAATTTTCTCGACTTGTTCAGACAGATACATAGGTAGACCACAATGCCATACTGTACAACAATATTCTAATGTAGATCTAATCAATGCATAATAAATTGTGATAAGGTCGTGCGGTGGAATCCCTCCCCGTCGTAGGACACGTAGGATATGCAGTCGCTTGGATGCTTTGGTAACAATCATCGAAATATGTTCGTTCCACTTAAGGTTATCCTGGATAATCAATCCAAGAACCTTGTGCGACGATACACATTCTAAGATCTGGTCTTCAACACACAAGTGTGGTAGTTCAGGTTTGTTCCGAAAGAAACAAATTTGCATCTCTTTGCATTTCTTTGTGTTCAATTTCATCAGGTTATTAGATGCCCATGTAGCTATAGAAGTTAAATCGGACTGGATTACAGACGGTTCCCCATTCCTTAATAATCCCTCAGAGATAGTAACATCATCAACGAATTTCCAATTGCCAGACCTCCCCGAACCGCATTGTAAATCATTGACCATAATTAAGAACAGGATCGGACCCAACTTCGCACTTGGGGGAGACCGGCTGTAACAGGAAGCCAACAAGAAACAGCTTCCGCAAGTTTGACCCGCTGTCTTCGCCCTGATAGAAAGTTTACGATCCATGGTATTAACGATCGCCTAACGCCAATATCAACAAGTTTTTGGATAAGAATGTTATGGCCAGTACGATCGAAGGCCTTTGAAAAATCCAAAAAGCATATGTGAAGAAAATGACCAGTTGAATCTAAATGAGAAAGCCAACAATGCAACATGTCGAGCAAGCAATAGGTCGTGGATGAACCCTTTAAAGAACCGAACTGTTGTGCGTCAATATTATTCCTAACGTCAGAGATCATCCATCTAACGACAAAATCCTCGAGAACTTTAGAAAGGCCTGGCGTTAGTGAAATGGGTCTTGTGTCACCCTCGTTAGTTGGTTGTTTAACTTTTGGAATGGGAGTAATATGTGAGTCTTTCCATATATTTGGAACAATCCCGGATGGAAGTGACATATTGAAGATTTTCGCAACTGGTTCAGCGAAAAGGTGCGCAAATTCCTTCAAAAGGCGACCTGGAATATTATCAGGACCACATGTTTTGGAGGCATTAACGACCAATAATTTCTCACAGACTTCGTGCGGTTCGATGTAAGGCACTTGATCAACAGCAGGTAAGTATGCTGGTAACGTGGTTATATCTAGTGGTGGAATATCTGCGTTAACCGAGATGTAAAACTTGTTCAAGTTATTGGCCAGTTCTAAATCTGATAATAATTCACCTTCCTTTTCAAAGGTAAGTTTAGTACACTTCTGAGATCGGCCAGACAACTTATTAACGACTTGCCACCACTTTCGGCAATCGTCTTTCTTAAGATGTTGTACTTTAGTTTTGTAATATTCTTTCTTTCTTACGGCTATTTCGGTCTGGACCTTATATTTCAAAGTTCTCCACTGCAGAACATCTCCACCATGGAAAGCTCTTTGACGGTCATTAATGAGTTTTTTTATAGACACAGACATCCATGGTTTATCGGAATGGCAAAATCTAACAGATTTCAGGGGAATAAGACTGTCAAATGCTGTAGAAGGAAGGGCTTGGACCCAGATTACTGAACCATTGATGCGTGCTGGCCCATCGGCCGAAAGAATTCAAGGCGGATAGCGGATAGCGGCGTATAAGACGCTTAATCGGTTTAGGTTTGGTAATAGCATCAACTTTATTAGGAACCCATCGTACTATATTATGGTCAGCAGACTCAAGCGGAGCAAGAATATGCGGCTTGTCATAAAAATCTTGTAAATCGGTGACGATGAGATCAAGGGTAGATGACCCCCTTGTAGGAGCAGAAACGACTTGCTTCAAACTAAGACTACGGGTTAGGTTCGAAACATCAAAATTATTAAAATCACCAAGGAATACGATTCTACAATTAGGATAACAATTCCTAATGGAATCCGTTGTGTTCATCAGATATTCATCAAGATCACGTAGTTCTTCAGCAGTTCTGCCAGGGGGGTTATACACAACGCAAACTGCAATAGCCGAGAGAGGTCTTGGCAGTCGTGTCGGGCGGATCCATAACCAAAGACATTCAAAATTCGGATTTTCAAAATCTAGTCTCCGTTGACAGGGAATGTTTTTCAAAGAATAAACGCACACACCACCGCCCCGGCTACCTGTACGATCGTTACGGTGGATATTATAGCCACTGATTGATATCAAGCTATCATCAACATCCTTGTGTAGCCACGATTCTGTTATAGCCACTAGATCCATTGGGTTACCATCCAGAAGTACAGCAAGTTCGTCGATCTTAGGCCTGGAGACGAAGTTAACGCAGCTAAGCATTGGAGTCGAAAGAACACAAGCCATTCTTGACTCAGGTAAGCGAGTAGCTATTAAGCGGCACCTTGAGGCGTTACAAACTACTGCAAAAGAAACGAACGAGTGCAAACGCATGTCGAGGCAGCTAAAATAACCGAGAAGGAAGAACTTTCGAAAATTAACGAATGGAATGACGAAATTGACCAAAAAATTTGACATAGCTGACGAGGCTGTGATGCGACTTGAGAAATGACTCGTCGACGCGGAACGAGCAGAAAAGTTTGTAACGCAGGAGGAGCAGTTTAAGTGAGAGTTAAAGCCCGAGTACCGAGGCTGTTAGCCAGGCATGCAGCTGTTAGCTACAGCCGAGGTTCGAGGGCTTTAACTGACTTATTTCATGATGGATGAGGTTTTCTCAAAAGAATAATTTAAGATAATTTCTATAGAAATTGTTCTTGTTCAGTGTAATTTGTGAACGAAAATACTGGGAGGTATGCGGACTTATTGTTGAACTAAATTAGCGAACAGATAGGTACAAAAAGAGATGAAGATCTCAAAGGAGCTTTACGCTAGTTATACGCTAGTTGATTTATTCTTATTTTTTGTTGTACATATTTTTGTAAAATTTTCTGGCCTCACTTTGACGAATTGTTTGCATACGCACTTCACAAAATGGATAGTGACGAGGAGACTTTTCACTGTCAGGATTAACCCAAAATACATTTTTAGCGGATCCTGTTATTTTGGATGACGAATTAAGTATAATTTCAAGTATTTTAGAGACTGAAAATCTTGATTTTGGTAACAGCGAGTCTACAAGTGCAAATACTAGTCATGCCGAGTCAACAAATGCAAGAAATATATCACTTATTAGCGACGAAGAGTTACAGAAAATGAAGGAAATCCGAATCCGGTTAAACACGAAGCATCAACAGCATGCATGGGCAGTTCGTGTGTGGAAAGAGTGGGCGGACGAAAGGAATAGTAAAGTACCAGCCAACGAGAAAGTCGAGCCGGATATTTGTAAAGTCAGTGATGTAGAACTTATGCATTGGTTAGCGAAATTTGTTGTCGAAGTTCGGAAGAAAGCAACCAAAGGGGAATGCTATCCGTCTAATAAGCTGTATCAGTTGTGTTTTGCTTTGCTACGATATCTAAGAAATAATGGTCGTCCAGCTTTAAATTTCTTCAAAGACCCTAATTTTAAACATTTTCAGGACTCGATGGATGCAGAAATGAAGCGCCTAATAGGGCAGGGTGTTGGTGCAAACGTTAAACAAGCTCAAGCCTTTTCTGAAGCTGATGAGGATAAACTCTGGACTTCTAAGCTCCTAGAGGATCACACAGCAAGTGTTTTATTAAACACAATGGTGTTTCTAATAGGAAAAAAAACTTTGCACTTCGAAGTGGTAGAGAGCACTGTCTTCTAAAATTCAGCCAGTTGACACTGGTGCCGGCATGTGGCACGGAACCTGAGAAATTGGTGTACACTTCTTTCCGGGAGAAAAACAATTTAGGAGGATTAAAGCATCGCAATATGAAGCGAAAGCGCGTGGAACATTATATAAATGAAGAGTGTCCCAGCCGATGTTTGGTTCGATTGTACAAGAAATATGTGGGGAAATGCAGTTCAGAAGCCATAGCGAAAGACATCTTTTATTTGAGTCCTCGCCGAAAGTATTCTGATTCAGATAAAGGTACAAACAAGTTATTTAGTTAGTTTTATCGTTTATTGTATTTAATTTCCATTTTTAGCTTCAGCTGAATTTTCTGTGTTTTAGTTTGGTTCACTTCAAATCCAGTGGGCTACAACACACTTGGAGGGGTATAGTTAAGAAGCTTTGTCGGGATGCAAGAATAGAAGGCAACTTTACAAATCACAGTCTTAGAGCAACAATGACAACTCGTGGTCTCTTAAAGGGAATTCCAGATAAGTTAATTATGGAAAAAACAGGTCATAGAGACGTAAGGTCGTTACAGCAGTATCAGAGACCTAGCATAGAGTACAAAGTAGAAATGTCAAAAGCGTTTGATCAAGTTGGTATGATGCACACGTCTTTGGCGACAACCAGTACAACTAATAGCGAGTGTCGGGAAGTCCGTGAAAAATCTGAGGAGTTGGAATTAGGAAGCGAAGTTACTGAAGAGCGAAGGTGATAGCGCAGTAAAGAGTGCATGAGAATGTTGAAAAGTGTGTGAATTTCAATAATTGCACGTTTTTTAATAACAAGGAGTATAAAATGTAGACAGAAGAAGTAAATGGATATATTGTAGTGGAAATAAGTGTTGTATTTAACAAGTTTGAAATATATTTTCAATACGTTTGTGTGAAATAGTATTAGAAATGTAAATCGAAGTGGTTGTAGTGTAATTAAAGTTCAATGGATTATCAATTCATGGCTTGTATCCAGGTACAATACTAGAACAGCGGGCTGTATTCAGATACAGCCCAATATTTCCGGGCTGTATCTGAATTCAGCCCACTTATTCATAATTATCTATTCAATTCAATTAATCAGCCCCGCTCTTCCCTGCTGAATATCAAAACCCTCCCCGTGCTTTTAGATGGTTGGCCTAATGACCGATATTTATGTTAAATACAGCCCGCGGAACTTCAAAGAAAACCGACTCAATTATGAAATAACTCTGGTTAGATAGAAACTTTATTTATACACGCTGACCCCGTCAACCGAAGCTGATTTCCACGGGGGGCGTGTGCAAAAATAGAAAAATGTTACATGGAGATATTAAAATACTTAAGTTAATGTCCTCACCGTTTAATAAATATACATATATACACATATATACACACATATATATACATATATATACATATATATACATATATATATATACACATACATACATATGTCGACCTCTTGACCGCGAATGGTAATAGGGGCAAACGATGGAGTAAGCTTAGAAAAGCAGACACGCAATTCTTTGGTCTTTGATACGTTTAACTTCATATTATTGTCTGATGACCATTCAGAGCAGCTGATGATGTTAGCGGGTAACTGGGAAGGGGCATTGTTTGATATTATTTCCCAAAGGCTAGTATCATCGACAAATTTAACAGTTTCATCCGCTACAGCCAAGTCATTTATCATGATCAAAAATAATAGCGGGCCAAGCTTCGTTCCTTGTGGGACGCCGGCGTTTAAAAACTTCCACTCAAAAAAGAACTGACCAACACGGGTTCTTTGTTGACGCCTGTTAGAAAGTTTGCGATCCAGTTGAGTAACACGGGATGAATTTCCATGTCTTTCAATTTTTCCAACAGAATGTTATGATCTAATCTATCAAACGCCTTGGAAAAATCAAGTAAACAAATCCATATAGTGTTACCTTGTTTGTCAGCTGCTTCAAACCATTTATGTAGCATGTAGATTAATGCCATACTAGTGCTTGAACCATTCAGCGAACCAAATTGCAAGGAATCAATTTTTTTTTAGACGGAGTCAAGCAGCCATTTGTAGGGAAAGGATTCAAGAATCTTGCTGATAATTGGTGTGAGGGAAATTGGTCTGAAGTCAGAATCAACATCTTTAGGAGGTGAAGATTTTTGAACTGGTGTAATATTTGCTGCCTTCCATATTGAGGGAACAAATCCTTCACGAACTGATGAATTAAAAATAGAACACAAAGGTCGACACAACACTGAAGCGTTTTCCCGCAGAAGCCAGGAAGGAATTTCATCGGGACCAGCAGATGAATGAAGTTTAGATGATAATAGGGCCTTTTCAGTCTCCTCGACAGAGATGCAGAAATCATCTGGAATGTCGTTTGCGGGAATGGGGAGCCAGTTTAGATTGGGTAAGGAGGACCCTACAGCAACGAACTTGTCGTTGAGCAAATTTGCTAAACGGCATCAGAGTAGGATTTACCTTGGAACATCATTGTAGATACATTCTTAGAAGACTGAAGACCGGCAATATTCTTCACCGCTGACCACCATTTACGAGAATCGGACTGTTGAACGCCCGCGATACTTTTATTGTAGTAATTTAGTCGTGCCTTCTTGCAAAGTGCATTGACTTTGTTTCGATAAAATCTGAACATCAGGTTATTGCCAGCCGCCCATGCTGTCTGCCGCTTGGAAATGAGAGATTTTATTTCGGAAGTAATCCAGGGCTTGTCACTAGAATCAATTTTGATTTGTTTCCAAGGCAAATGTTCGTTCATGATATTATCTACGCTGGTGGAAAAATACTGGAACTGCTCGTCACAAGATTCCATATGGTGCAAAGGTAAGCAATTAACTTTCGACAAATGATCGCTAACAATTCGACGATTGGTTGGGCGAGAGTCTCGTACTAAACGTGTAGACCTTGTGCCACCATAAGAGTTAGCTGGAAGAGGTTTAAGAACGATGGAATTATGATCGGAATGTCCAATTGGAGAAATTACCAGGCCAGAATTATAAAATTTAGAAATGTTGGTAAATATTTTATCTAAAATATTCTTTCCTCTAGTAGCGTCTTTGACTAACTGCTTGAGGTTAAAGGAACTGCATAACTGGCGATGTTTAAATTGGTTAAAATCTCCGGCCAAAATAATTGCTGCACCGGGATTGGTGGAAAGGACAGAATCAATTGATTCGGTAAGGTGTGAAAGAAGGGCTTTATCGTCACTTCCAGGTGGATGGTACACGATTCCCAATACAATTGAATTTAAACCACGAGGCGAGCGGTGAGGTTTTAAGAGTAACCAAAGCGACTCATATTCGTGACTTTCAATCTCTTTAAGATGAATGAAAGGAAGCATGTCCTTTACAAAGACACACAGACTCCACCTCCTCGTCTGCCGTCAGAACGATCATGCCTCAGTAAGGAATAACCGCATAAATCTATTGCTGAATTGGGAACATTTGAAGAAAGCCACGTTTCAGTAACAACGACAATGTCTGATGAATAGGATTTTACTGTAGCAGACAGTTCGTCAATCTTGCTGATCAGTGATCTTGAATTAGAAACAAATAAATTCGGTAGAGAAGAGAGTAAGGGCGTTTTTTTGGTTTGGTGGCCACTAATGTAAATTAAATTATTTCTACGGTTGAAACTTTTCCCTGACGGGTAATAACTTGAACGGGTCACTCTCGTATGACGATGGGAAACTCGGACGGGGATAGCATATGACGGCAATGTTACATTCTGGTTATCCAGCTGTGGCCTGCATAGTCAACAGGGTGATGACCACCTTGGGCCAAAAGTGTTCGTAGTTCCTTAGTAAATTGACTACGTCATAAAGGAACACCGTTTGAGTAGCAAAACAATGGTCCCGCATAGTCTGTTGGCGCACGTGAAAGGTAGGTTTGAAGGGCCCTTACTGGACAATATATACCAGAATTGCTGCCAATGGTTATTGTGGCTGAGGCTCGAAACGGATCGGTTTTTGACGCTTTAATTCGTAGTTGCAGAAAAACCTCGTTATACCCACGTTTTTTGTTATGAAAACTTACATCTGATCGGCAAAGGTTTGTTGAAGAATTATAAGGACCGGAGCAAGTCATTTCACCAATCCGCAAAAACCCGAAAAATGCTATGGAAATCGCTGCCCAAATCATGGTTCCATCATGTGTTGGTGATGTCCGTGAGTGTAATATGCGGTGAAACAATTTCAAATGGTCTAATGTAATTGGTAGGCGTGTTCTTGTAGACACTCCTTTTACTCGCTTTATACCTCGCAAAATATAGTGTAGGCGTTGAAATTTGGTGATTTGAAGGTCGTAGCCGTTAACCAAATGCATATGGCGTACTGCTGCGAGATAGACGTTGATGGTGTCTGGATTTACCGTCTTAGCGAGAAAAACAGCAAAGTAAATCAGAATGTTTTCCGTTGTTGGCAGAAGAGGCACATGCTTATGTAAATGAAATTGATAGTAGAAATTCGTGAACTGTTTTTCGCCACTGCTAAAAGTTTTAATCGTACCTTGAGCTAACGAAGCAAGTTGATAACGACGTAATTCAGCGTCTAGAGACGAGTAAGTTCCTCTGGTAGAGGTTGAGGTTGATGGTCTGCATGCGGTGCTAGCCGCCGAAATCTGGTTTGCTGAAAACGGAAGATAGAATCAGCAATGTCATTATAATGACCAGGCACATGTAAGGATTTGAAATAAAAGTTATATTTCAGTGTTTGTAAGGTTAAAGCACGCACTAAGTCCATAATACGAGGGCTTTTTGAACGTTTGGAATTAATTATGGAAACCACTGCCTGGTTATCGCAGTTAAACCCAATTCGTTTTTGAGCCCATAAAGGTGCCCATATGTAGGAAGCTACCACAATAGCATAGAGCTCTTGCCAATCAATGCTGATATTTTTTGTGGTAAGTGTTTGGTGAGGCAACCATTTACCCTGAAACCACTGGGTGCGAAAAATTCCCCCAAAACCAAGGGTCCCGGAGGCATCCATAGAGAGTAAGGCTTGTAGAATTTTCCCAGACAGAGTTGAGAAATAAACTTGTCTCATTCCAGTCTTTAAGAAAAAGTTGCCACATTTTTACATCTTCGCGAAAACCATTCGTCAAGCGAATGTGAT